GTCCCTTCCCCACCTGATGGAAATAATACATTTTATCATTGAGACAAAACAGCCATCTAACTACACTTATAGTGAAATGGGTCGTGAACGTCAGACTTTGTGTAGTGTTAGCCAAAAAGATGTACAGAATTCCTGCCTTGGTATCTCCTTTCCTCTGGAAGGAAAGGGGGTAAGTGAAAAGCAGGACGGGAACACAGGAATGATGAGGTGTGCAGGATGCAGCCCACAGAGGTCCAGCAGGGTCTCTGCAGGCTGTGGAAGGAGCTGGCTACAAAGCTGGGACCAGCAGGACCCAGAGGAGTTCAAGGGAAAACATGCAGCTGCCAAAACATGTCCCTGCAAAGCTGACAAAACATTTTAGGGTTGTAGGAGATAACTCAGGTAGGAAGGGACCACAGAAGTCATCCGGTCCATCCAGAAGTCCCGCTCAAGAGTCAGCTGCACACTTGAACCAGGTTATTTCAGCCTCTACACTCCAGTAGACAGGCAAATACCCCATAAAAGTGAGCCTCATCCCCCAAAACCTGACCATCTTGAACAGCTCAAAGCTCTTCAGGAGAGTCAGGGCATTTTGGGTGGAAAAGCCTGGGCTGTTATTAAATGGAGAATGTGCTGCCAGACAGCAGGGAGTACAAAGCTTTCCAGCTGTACATGGAAACCCCGTCATTAAGGCGTTCCCCTGAGGAAATGCTCCAACTGAAACAGATGTGGGAATTCAGAGACCCAGGCAGTCAGGCATAATACGAAAAGTGCAAAATCAAAAGTTTCTGTCCTCTCTTCAGTCCTGTTAGAATTCCTCTACTGCTACTACCGACTGATATATTAGCAGGGGACATCCACTTTACTTGTACTAGTATTTTCTTTCCTTACGCCCATCTTGGAGATACCTTTACAGTACACAATTACACATTTAGAAATAAAAAATGCTAGGTGGCTAAAAAAAAAAAAAAAAAAGTAAAGCATGTAATTAACTTTTGCTTAACTGCAAAATCCCACAGGAGCAACCACCATTTTTGGTTCATTTACGTGTTGCAAGATCTTCCTCACTTGGGACCGGACTTAGCACACGAACATATTTAGCTAAAAGGACCACACCTTCTTTTTTTCCACATGCTGCTAAGCATTTGTAACAGTTTCCTTATTTTACAATGACATCAGGAGTAAAATTCCTGGGTGCTATGAGAGTAGCTCATGCTCTCTTCACTTCTTGAAGACTGATGAGCGTCTTATGGACTCACACAGAGCATCCAGCCCGACTGCTTGCCACCAGTACACATGGATCTTCTAAAAAGCATTGCTGAAAATACATGTGAAATCCAGACCCAGACTCAAATGCTGGAGGATTGATCAGTATAGGCAAAGACCAGCACAAACCAAAAAGCCACCAGTTTTTCAGTCAACATTACTGAAAGCTCTTTGAACAAGCACTGGCCAGACTGTGGACTGGCATAACTGCATTTACAGCTGGGTTTTTCTAAAGATGAAATACGAAAAGGTCTGCCAGATCTTCAGCACAATTTCCTGGAGAAAGTACTAGTAATTGTACAATGCAGTAATAGGACTGAAATGCTATCTTTGTAATGATGGTTTGAAAACATGAAAACATTTCTCCCACTGGAATTGGCTTGAATTTGTGAACATTTCAGATCTAAGTTTGGTAAAGCAACTTCTACATTTAAAGATTGTGAATGTCTACATTTAAAGACTGTGAAACTTACCTGGAATGGAATATGGCCAGTGCATTTTAGTAATATTTACTTTAAGAAATCTGAACACGATGCTTGAAATGCAGTTTTCGATGCTGATAAAGCCCATAAAACCCAAGCTGGCTGGTAGGGAATTCTTTTAAAATCAGGATGCTCTCAATTAGTTCGACAACCAATGTTCTAATCTGTGTAAACAGACTCTACTTATTCTCCACTAACATTGACCAACAGGAACAATGACTTCGTTGTTCACATTGAACTTCCGCCAGCTGCTAAACAGGAGAGGTTTACCTTTCTAAATATTTGAAACTTGATTTCAAATACGATTACCCTTCCTGTCCTTGAAACACCAGTAGATTTGGTTCCAAGAGAGTCTACAGTGGAGTTTGTGAAACTTGCCATTTCGGATGGCAAATGCTTGAGCTGCTGGTGAAGTACTGTTCTGTGCTGGGAAGATTTCAGAGCCTCAGGTGTGAGCTTCCTATGATGTATGCTTAATCCCTGCAGGCTGCTCACCTGGGCTACAAGTCTAGGAAGGATACGGACTCAAGTTTACAGCCACCTCCTCTGCTTGGGATAGACGAGCCAGAGAACAGATGTTCGACAGTGTTGTTGTACTCCCAAATTTAGTAGAACTGGGAGTTTGAAGGAAAAAAAAATACATAAAAAAATATACAGACATCTATTTGCTTTGATTTCTACCAAGCACTCAGCATTTGACCCCAAGTTAATTTTTATCATTAATCTTACACTACAACCCTTAACAGCCTAACGTTGCTGTGATTGCTAGATAAGAATTCAAGTGTGACAATGAAACGAAAAAAATCATTGTTTAAATTCTTAAAGGTGCAGGGTACTAACACACATCAATTTCTAAGTCCTTCTGATCAATTCTGAGATGAGGAAGAGTCGAGACCTTGACCACCTAGGAGCAAGGAGGACCTAGAGCTGTTGGGAACACTGAAACCACAGGGTGGAACAGGACAAAAGCTGCAGATTGATCCAGTTCTTCAGGGGGGTGACGTTGCTGACAAAGCTTCTCCCCTTTCAGCTCACGAGGATTTTATCCTAGAAGTAGAAAGAAATCGAAAGAGGGCAAGGTGTTGCTGGCAGCCAAAATAGAAATTCAGGAAAAGAAACCAGTCTTGTTGACTTTGAGATGTCAAAGTGGTGTGTTCACACAGGCTGCAGATTGGTTTTGTAAAACTGAAGAGCTATATCCTGCAAACTTATCTACCTACTCACGCAAAACTTTAGTTTAAATGACAGGAAATAAGCAAGCTGTTCACAACTTGTTATTTAACAAACATTCCTGAGAAACTCACAACTCCATCTCTTCAGATCTTCTTAATTTGTAACTTTTAATTTGACTCCTGCTGCAGTAGTGACTCATTTAGACAGGGCGATTTCAAAACGTTTGGTAAATTACTAACTTCACCGATGACAGCGTAACTTTTTACAGACCTGAAGTGAACCGCAGACACCTGAAGTGTGAAAATGACAACAACCCATCCGCCAGCATGTGCTCCTCAAACGGCACTTCGCAGAGCAGGAGCTGAAGCTATTCACAGGAGGAGAGGAAAAAAAAAAAAAAAAAAGTGAATCTTTTTAGACGACAAATCACACCTCCAAAGAAAGTAACACCTTGAGCATGCAAAAGAACTGCCGCTTTCTCATCCCAAAAGCTGCCTTACACATCGAAGTAGAAGGGGAGGCTGGAATATGAAGTTGGGGCCAGTACCACAAAGCTAATAGAAAGGCATTTGGTGGAAAGGAAGGAAGGGCACATACCTCGTGGCTTGTAGTTTCACCACAAGAGTGAAGTGTTACATGCAAACGGGACGGGGCTGAGGTCATCTGGAAAGAAGAGTTAAAAGGAAAGTGCCTGGGTCACAGTGCAAAACCACATCTGAATTCCAGTGTTAACAACAGTGCACTTAGAAGTAATCTCTCCCTGCCACATGCCGCATTAGGTGAAAAACTAGCAAAAAGGAGGAAAAAACATTTTGCAGTGAGTGCTGGAACGTGCAGGCCTATTTTCCATGCAGCTTACAACAACCTTCACAGTCCCTGGATATTTACTTCAATTTCTTTTTAACTCACAGTAGCACAGAGAAAAGAATGCCAGAAAACTCCCTTGAGCCAGTGAAGCTTTCTGTAAGTGGACTGGTTTTGAGAGCTTACCTTCATTTAATGTTCTTTCACTCATATCTTTGCAACTTCTGGTAATCAAATCTGCAGTGTCTGTTACATATTAAAAAAAAAAAAAAAGTAGGCAAAGCAAACCCAGTTACGAAACAGTTTTTCACTAGAGCAGTTTTTGTTCCTGCCCCAGCAATGGCATCCTGCAATTTGCTGGATCTAGTTTCATCCTGACAGGTGAAAGTTACGGTAGCAGCAATAAGAGTGTAACGAGTACCTGGAACTCCAGAGAGGAGCTTTTATCCTCTCTTCAACTGCCTGTTGTTTCTTAGCGAAAACGTGCCAGCTCTTGAGCACAGTCAAATTGGTTGTTTGACTTCCTGTACTTAGCAAGGACACACATAAAGATGCCTCCTACCTGCACACACGGAACTTTCCTTATTGCTGAACCTGACTCAGCACAGGTAGCAGAAAAACACATTTACATCTAAACAGTTTTCTTGCAGAAGAGGTTCAGTGAAAGAATAAATCCTTTAAAAAAGGCAGTGTTCCCTGTCAAATCTGGTTAATTTTGAACAGTGTTGCTTTATCTTTGAGGTACCAGCTACAGTCAAGCTCACTCAGGATGCTGTAACAGCATGGAGACACTGAAAAGGAGCGAAACACAGTTACAACAGTCCGTGTATGTGCATCTAGCACTAGCACTTACAATTAATTTAATATTTAAAACAAAACTGTTTTCTATATAGCTTGCTATCTGTTAGTAATGTAAATATAACAACAGAAAACTTAGTAAGTGCAAGAAGCTTTTCAACTTTCCTGTATCCACCAAATGGCTGCAAGTTAGAGCACAGGAAATTCTGCACCAACATGTGAAAGAACTTCTTCACATGAGGGTGTCAGAGCACTGGAACAGGCTGTCTAGGGAGGTTGTGGAGTCTCGTTCTCTGGAGATATTCAAGGCCTGTCTGGACGCATACATGGGCAGCCTGCTCTGAGGAACCTGCTTTCGCAGGGGGGTTGGACCTGATGATCTTTCGAGGTCCCTTCCAATCCCTACAGTTCTGTGATTCTGTGATTTTTTTTCATCAGAACTGTGCTGCTACACTACTAGTGTATGGGATGGGTAAATGAAGACAGACATGCACTGTGTATGAGATAACTTATTTTATTTATTCAATTCTCAACTTAATTTTGATGCTAAAATTTGGTCAAAGGCACTTTAAAGAAGGTATTTAAGAAACAAACCTTATGGTGATCAGTCCAGACAAGTCACCTATACCTGCCATTAAGGACACAACTACCTAGAACCGCAAAAGGAAACATTCACAGGTTTTAAGTGGAACATACTGTCCAGCAGCAATTTTCCTTTTTTTTTCTTTTTAGAGGATTAACAACATTTCTGGAGTATTTTAAATACAGTATGGTAAAACAAAGCAAATTACACCTTTGGAGTTCCACAGACATTTTTTCTTGACAGAAAAAGGACAAAGCAGCCTTCCCAAGCAGACCCATATTGAGGGGTCTATTTTCATCCATGTGTGCACTGTTAGCATCAGTAGGAGGTACATCAGGGAAATAATCCTACTTTTCTCTGTTGTACAAAGACAAAAAACCCTTCTCAGACAGCAAACTGCACGTAACAGGTCTATCAGCTACTTACTGAAAGGTACACTTCTGGAAATGTAACAGAGCAAATGGCAACATGTGAACAAAAAGTGATTGTAGTATCTACCCACAGCAAAGCAAACCAAAGCGGTCTAAAAGGCAAAATGCATCAGCAAAGATCTTCCACAAAACAAGAGACTGTATCTAACCTCTTATATAAGACCAATGGAAATTGCAAAACTGAACTGGGAGTGAAGATTAAAAATTGGTCTTTTTCTGCAAGCCAAGATTACCTCTGTCCTCCAGCTAGGGACTTTGATCAGAAGGCAGCCACTTGGCCTTCTCGTTCCTTCTGAACTAAAACTGACTTAACACAAGGTAAAAATGTTGCTGTTACACTAAGTGACATCCCACATCCAAGCACAAGCAACTGCTTAAGAAAACCCTGCTGCTCTGTAACTTCAAGAAAACTCATTCAAAATTTTTGAGATGAGACATTTTAAATCACTACTATGGTGATGGAAGCTTTTAGGTTTTATAAAGTGAAGAAATCTCAGAGAAAGTGAGCGCAGTAATCTGAATAGCCTGAAAGAGCCTGCTTCTGTGCTTCAGAATGGGGACCCCACCTGTAACGTAGCCTCCTTGGGCTGCTGAAATAGTCAAACTCATTAAATATTTTGTCAAAGCATGAAGCCCTGAGAGTGAAATAATAAACTACTAATAGTTGTGTAATATTGTATGTGAAAATTAGGCTGCTCACATTCCAATCTTCCCTCCCTAAGCTTTTGAAGAGTGAGATGCAAACCAGTTGTTCTGGGAGGTATCAGCTCATGGTTACAACCACACAATTCAACAAAGAGCCCTCTGTGAGAACCACAGAATGAAAAAATCAATACTTTTTTCCAGCCTGTCTGGATATTGAAAGGAAAAAATACTGTGCAGTGCTGCCAAAAAGGCAAAGAAAATCATTTCAGAGGCCCAAGAGCAAGGACACTTTAAAACAGAGCAAGAACAAACATTTGAAGAGCAGGTGACTCTTGCTTCTCCAGATAGGGTGCTGGCTTATCACAAGGTTGGATGTTCTTTGCCTCGTTCCCTAAAGAGATGCAACTTGCACATACATGCTTGCTTGCTTGTTCCTCTATTTCTCCGTTCCCTGTAGGGTGCTGCATGTTTCTTGGAGGGACACTCCTGCCCTGCCCTGCTAAACCCACAAGACAGTTGGGTAGCAGACAAGTATTACAACTGCTGCTGAGGAAAGGCAGAGAGATTAAAGTTGGGATATTGATTTCATTTTATGGTTTCCTTATGTATTCCAGAATCTTTTAGTTGCAGCTTTGAACAATGCCACTGGATTTATCAATAGCATATGGATTTCACAATATTATTGTTTTGTGTTGTACATGGGATAAACATTTAGCTCACAGAAGGAAGCATCTATCTAAAATAAAGTATCATACATTCTCCTCTGGACAAGTGTCCCTCTGACTACAGCTAACTGGAGACTTTTTCCTTTTTCTAAACAAATATATTTATAATTTTCTACATAAGTCAGTTAACTTAAAATAAAGCTCTTGTCTCTTTAAGTATTTCAGAGAGAATCTTTCTCACGATCAACAGATTTAACCCAACAGGAACTATTCATTTAACTAATACTTTGTATATAAACCCAACCTGCATTCAGGCAGAGAAGCTGTACATAGCATTTCGATTCCTTAAGCTATTTCAATAATTGCCATTATACTGCAGAGTAATGACCAGAAAGGAAGTCATGAACTTTACTGCTGGACCACAGATAGAACCCCAATCTGTGTGCGAGAGCTATCTTTGGAAAAAAAAATTCCAGTACTTTATGGTAACGTCCTCTTCAAGGAACACCCTGAAGGACAGCAGCAGTCCCCAAGGCTGTCTGCTACCAGTATGTGCCCTCTCCAAAGCAATGACTGGAGGTAATCAGGTTATGTCCAAATTCATCAATATGATGAAGGTGAAAAATGATAAAAAAGAAAGAAATTTTGTCGACGTGTGGAATAAAGGCATGTCAAGCTTAACCCCATCCCCTGAACTTTGCTATCAATTGAATTTGATGAAGAGAAAACCAGAAGGTTTGGGTACATAAAACACAGGCTTGGCCTTTGAAAATTCTTCAGTTATTAACACAATTTCGTCTTACACCAAGAAAGTGTTTTCAGTTAAGAGGCAGTTAAGAGGCAGAGATACTCATAAAGTAGTGGAGAGAGTTAATGCACTTTGAAAGATTCCTGCATTCAGGCTGGTGCACCTGAACAACTACATACTTCAGCTTCACAAGAGTGAAGCAGGGATCATGTAACACTTCGTTTGGAAAAATACAACAAGAAACAAACACAGAACAAATGTTAAGAATGGATGAAAAAAAGTTCAGAAAAGTGAAATTAAGTACTTTGGCCAAGCAGTCAAATCAGCTTTGCTGTAGTTTTAAAATAGGACTTGCTTGTATCTGAAGAATTTTTATGAATAAGATAATTTCACAAAGTAATGTGAGAATCAGAGAGGGATGAAGTAATTCTAACACAGGCTGAAACCTAATTATTATATGCCATTGTAGCTCTGTTAAGACACTAACCTTTCTGATTTACGGAGAAGGTGTGAAGGAGGAGAGACTTTTGTAAGACAAAGCATCTAGCTTATCTTACGAAGTTCTCAGATGAGTCATCCATTCTATCAAGTGGCAACTTGATTTAAAAACAAACAAAAAAAAAGCCATGGCCAAGTATGCAAGCTCCTGACATCACCTCAGCAATCTGAATCGTAACTGCTCCTGGGTACTAGTAGTAATCCAACTTCATATTGTTTTGTAGAATAGAGACTTATTGTAAAAAAAAATTTAAACAATTCACAGCAGTGAATTTCATTTCTGAAATAATTCAGAAGTTAGTCACTGAGGTGTGTCTCTGTCTATTCACATCGACTGGTCTGTTGTTAAGGCAAAGCAGATTTGAGGCTGTATTTTTACCCCTCTCCCTTCCTTGTAGGGCAAAATACCCAAAGTAATTTCTGAATATTAAGAACACAAGATAAATATTTCCATCACGAAATATTTGACTGTGCAATATCAGATTTCTAATATTAGACCTCACCTAACAGAACATTTGGAAGGAAATAAAGAAACAAAGAAAAGAAATACTGTATGATTATCTTCGAACTTGTTCACTATGTTTTTAATACAAGTTCTTCCAGAGATTAATGTACCAGAACCACCTCCTATTTCACAGCTTTAGGGCCCCAAATCTTCATGAGTAGGGCTGCAAGATCATACTATCTCAAACAGTCAGAGCCCATATTGGACTCTGTTGTGCACAGACACTGGCTGGAAGTACTGCCAACGTGATTTTTGAAATAAGAATCCACAAATAATCCTAGTCCACAAGCTTCATGCAGGAGATGGGGAAGACCCTTTTTCTCTGTACTGGCTTCATTCAGTTTCCTTCAAAGTCCACTTAATTCCCAGAAATTGTTTGCTTTAGCTTTTGATTATCCTCTAGTGCTTCATTTTTGTTCTGCTCTTCTAGATTCTTTGCCGAATCAGGATTGTACCGATACAAATAGCCATACGGACGGAGATGATAAATCAAATATTCCAAATGATACATAGTCATGGAGTCAACATAGTGGAATGAAACGGCCAGGTCGGAGCAGCAGCCGGGACCCTAAAATGCAAAACAAGTCAAAATAATCAGGAAGAATTTCAGAGCATGCCCTGCATTAAAGATACTGTAGGAGGAATTCAAACACACACTTGACTTCATGAGAAGAAACTCACCATCATCATTCATGTATTTCAAAGCTTAATATTAAGCAAGTAAAATGGATTAATCAGACACATTTGCCAACTCATCTTTCCAAAAGCACAGTTGGACAAAATCTTTTGCCTCTGTAGTCATGCCAATGAAGAAACCAGCTGTTCTCATAAATGCCAGAGGGTGTTCTTTCTTTTCCATATTTCACTTTTTATGTCAGTGTTTAAACAAAATTAAGCAGCATCAAGCAGGTATAAGTATATTGTATTTATAAATGAAACAATACACTTGCATTTATATATGACACAATACACGCTTGTTATCATGCTATCAATTATCCAGAATACGAAGGCCAAACGTGCTCACGTGTACCTCTGTGTGCTTGAGCACTGCCTGGTTTGCCAGTATCTGACTTTCTACATACAGGCAGCTGCTGTAATGAATCAGTTTGGAGGTATTATATTTATTTATTTAAATTTATTAAATTAATTGACATTACTAAGCATTTTGAAGAGCTAAAAGATGGCTGTTAACACATTTTTTACAAATTGGTTTTGACCAGCTCTGATTCAGCTTTGAGAGGCATTGTCTTTGATTCAGGTATTTTTTACACTTGGAAATTGCTTATCAACGCTAATCTTAGGGCAAAAAATCCTGTAACTGAGCATATGGCATACAAAGATAAGCAAAAATTTACATGAAAAATGACTATTCTTTTCCGTGAAAACAGTTGAAAGTGAAAGTTTAAATGGCTGAGCTGAACAAATACTCAAGTTGGAAACTTAATTTAAGCAAAGCCAGCCAAAATTAAAACTGTAAGATAAAATGAAGAAAAACACCCTGAAGGATAAGGAAGCATATAAAAACATAAGAAACAAATATTAGTTTTAACACACAGCTTGTAATGAACCTCACTGGACTCCCTTCTCATTGCACTCTGGTAGGTGGCTGGCTGGAAGAGAAGCTAGTACATGGGACATGAAGGTACAAAACAGAGCGGTAACTCTGCAAGGAAGGTAGTGGTGATGACACCAGTCAAACCTATTGGAAAGATTTCATCATTTCTTGTTGTCCACAGAACATAGGAAGACAGTAATAATAATTCCAGATTCACTACTTCTTCCAGGACCTTAAGTTCTTAGCATCAAGTTTTAGCTGATGACTACTGTGTTTAATGAGTCTGCACAGAAGGTATTTCTCAGGAAGTCACAACAAAATCTTCTTTTCTAGAATACATTTAGCTGCCATTAATATGCCAATACACACATCATACCATCATAAGATGTATTTCATAAAACAGTTGTCAGGTTCCTAAAGGCTTACCTCTACAGCAGGGTAATAATTGTAATTCCAGTACCAGAATGTTTTTGGTAGGTATCCTCTGATTAGGAGATGTTCTGGAACGAAGGGATGAAAGGTTTCCCTGCCGTTTGTATCCCTAGAATCTCCTGCTTCTACATTGATGATCTCCATGCACTTTCCTAGTGCTAGGTCTTCAATAGAGGAACTGTGAGAGCATTTGTTTGTTTTAAATGCAGTAACAAATCTCTTCAGAGCTTCTTTGCTTAGAACATACCCTGCTCCTCCACTCATGTAGCCCTGTTTCACGTAAGGCTTAAACCTTCTTCCAAAGTATATCGGTTGTTCAGGACTGTATTTTGAAAGAAGCCATCTCAAATTGTCCAGTATAACATATGTATCATCATCTGCTTTCATGAACCAATCTGCAGCATCAAAATAATGGTCATACACGTATTGAAAAGCTTTAATAGTCTTCCAGTACAGTTGGTCCCTGCCTTCTTTGGTTTCTAGGCCCACAGCTGGGAAGTCTTTATTTTCCTCAGAGCTCATAAAAAGTATTTTATTACAACGTTGGGCCCAAGTGGCCTTAACATGCCTGGCTTTCTTTTCTAGATTTTGAGGTCCAGTCATGACCCAACAAAGTATTTTCACCTTCTGATACAGTCCATCTGCAACATTTTTATTCTCATCTAAAAAAAAAAAAAAAAGAGGAAAATTTGAAAGCATTAGACTTCACTGAGTGGTAAAATAAATCCAAGAACAATGTCTCCCCAAACGTTCCATTCCTAAATCAGAAAAGACAGAGAAGAGGTCTTTGTTTCCAAATGAAATTAACTTCACATTTAGAAAAACAAAACTCCCCAAACCAAGAAATTAAAATTCTTCAAGCTACTTTGACTTCAAAAGATAAATTTTGATTTTACATCAAAATGGGAATCTGTTTGAGAAAGTGTGACTTTAGAATGTCTTCATTTGTACACAAAAACTATCAGAAACCATCCTTTTTATGGCACTGGAAAATGAATGACAATTTAAAAACTGAGTATTTTTACCATTCACAGTGAACACGACTGCAACAAAAAGGTCAAAAAACTTCTCAGCTTTGTTATGTAATTTTATGCTAACAAACAGAATCTAATAAATATTTCTAAAATAGCAATGTGGTTTTGAAGGGAAAAAGCAGATGGTAAGCCAGAGCAAAAGAACTTATCATAATATCAAGATAAATCTTATTTATAAGATGTCAGAAGTAGTAAAATAGCATAGTATGAACCTTCTATTGCTGTGCTGAACAAAAGGTATGCAATATAATGTTTTCCATGGTGCCAAAGTGTTCATTTCCCTCAAAGAAACCTATCAACTGACACACACAGAGTGATGCTAACTCATAGAACAGAACATTCCATGGAGAGTGAGATCTGCACCACAGGTCCTAAAATATTCCCGTATAACCTTTTCAAGGTTTTCTTTGCAACAGTTTTCTGTGATTACATGCAAAGCACTCACAAATTTGTCTTACAGAATTTGCAATTTAAATAACTTGAAATAACAAATTACTTACTAATGTCTTTGTTCAGCAAATGCATTACAGTGCGAGCGTTTTTTCTAATCTAAATTGCCCCAGTTCAGATACTGCCCGCTTTTAGGATTTAGAATGAACTCATATAATGAGATGTGTCAAATGTAAAAGTATACCTGAAATATTAGATGGGTCTACCATCTTTAAAAAAAAGAAAAAAAGTGTAAACGAATTTCTCTGGTTTTGACTGAGAACACCAATTTGTCTTTGGATTGCCACATAATCAGCCTAGTAAGGAGGGCCCAGTGACACATTGCTGCTTTTTTTCCTTCTTTTTTTTTTTTTTTCCCCTCTTTTTAGCTTCATTTGAGAGGTTAGATCAGATGTTAGAACTGGTCCAAAATTACCTTCTAAAAGCTAAAAAGCAATTCAACCACATCTACAGCACTAGCAAATATATCTCCTTAATAAATCACATTTGATGTCAATGGTTCGTCTGAGAAGTTCCTACAGAGAAATTCTAAACTTCCTAAAGAAACTGCCAAGTCTGGACACAGTACTTGGACAAACAGGCTCCAAGGGGAAAGGGAAAAATCACTGCTGTGATGTAATTGAAGACAACCACCATTCAGCAGACCTTGGGAGATCAAAATTATTTAGGTGTAACCTGAACATTGGCAAGTGAAAGAAAATGACTCATACAAAATTTTGGCAGTGAAGAAAACAACATTTTGCAATACATGAAAAGGGAACACCCTATATCATTAGTCAGGTGTAACAAGATACCTTTGTGCTGTCCAGAGTCTGCATTGAAATTCATTTGTCCTTGCAACTGATCGTTATCCGTATCTGCTGAGTGTTGGCCGTGTGGATCATTGTGAAGAATATGAGGTTGGATTTCAACCTTTTCTTCCAGTATCATGCTAAACAGAAGATAGCATAGGAAAAATCCTATTGCAGATCCAAAACTGAAGGTTAGAACGTTCATCAAGGACTTAGAAGAGGCCATTTCCTGAAGATAATGCACTGTCCAAAACAAATGAAAAATATATTAAGCCTAAAACAGTTTAACACAGAACTCGAATCAAAAAAATTAGGAAAAAAATTAAGGACCAAATGTTTAAAAGTAGAAATCTTAACACTACCTCAGATCCAGCTCCCCGGGGCTTGCACGGAAGTTTAAGTACAAGAGCAATGCAAATATTTACATAAAACTGTACAGACGTATATCTAGTAAAAGGCCAGCTGTGTACTATGTAGCTTAAAATTATAAAGGACAGTCAGAATACACAACGGAAAACATTCATTTACTTAATTATACTGGTACAATATTAATACAAGAATGTACACATTTAAAGTGCAAGATCTTAATTATAAAAAGTTGGTTTACATTCACTTCTTTACTCTCTTGGTCTTCAGAAAATTGTGCTTAAAAGAAGTAATAGCTCAATCTTACAAATCTAAAAGATGATAATCAAAGGCAATCTACTTGTCAGGATCCCATGTCGCCATGAGATGTACTTAAACCCAAGGAGTTAGTTTATTACAGGAATTCTTTCACAGATGTCAAATACAAGCAGATATTGAAGACTTATACAGCAAATCTACTCTCATCTCAAAGCAGGGCAGCTTTTCTTCCACTTCTAAAAGTGCTGAGGATAGATGTTCAGAAGAAAGAGTAGGACAACATCTGAATTTTCATAAAGAAACACTCTCTTTTAAAGGCATTTGGCAGAAGAGGCAAGTGAGACATATCAGCCTTAAAGCCTCTTCTACACATTAAAAAAATGTGTATTCCAGTCATGTAAACCTCCACTTCAGCCACACCCTTGTTTCTCAAAACCAAAAGGTCTTGGCTTAGCATTTTTATAAAATTAATCGCAGCCAACATCTATGCCTATGTAAAGTGTGCTTTACACATTCAAATCAATTCTGAATTTATAATATATTAAGCGCTTGCAGGCCAATTTCAGGCCATTAAGGCCTAAGGCCTTTTCATCTTTGGAAAGGGCTGAGATATTTTTTAATAGTCCATGACTAAGCTACAAAACCACAGGCAGTGAAATCCTTGCTGGAGTCAAGCCAGGACCTTACAAACGAGTTGATGGCGTTCCCTCCGCTAGCATCACTCTTAGCATCACCAACAGCAAACCCAACTGCGTTAGGTAGCGAGCCAAAAAAAGTTCGGGATTACACAGACCATCCGGATTAGCTTTAAAGAACTAGTGCTGTCTGCACAATCTGCTGCTCTCTGCAGATCAGCAAGGCGGGCAGGAGCAAGTGTTCAGACACTCCGTGACAACATCCTTCAGCTCTGTGGTGACACTGACAGCGCTGCAGGAAAAACAACTGCAAGGAAGGAGAAGAATTACTAGTGTGGGAGAAGAATGGGGCCCTCCTACACAAGAACGAGGGAAGAAGATCTCAGAATGGGGTCCAGACTGCAAAGGTATGTCTGAGGCACACAGACATAAAAGGGAGAAACTATTTAGGGAACAGGAATGTTACAGTGCTCCCTGACACGTAGCGAACCAGGCTAACAGAGTACCATCTCCTAACATCTTTTAACCCGTGCAATTTAGGTTGTTCTGAATTCATCTCCAAGTTTCCTAATACCCCAAATGAGCACATATTAAAGTACTGTACATATTAAAGGTGGGACACTGCTCAAAAAGTTGTTGCATCCCCTCCTTTTTAATATTAGAGCAGCAATTATATTTGAAGTTGATGTCCTGCTGTCTGCACTACATTCAATCTGCAGAAGTGTATCTCATTACTACCACTGAAAAGAAACAAGAGCAGAGAAAAGCACTGGGATGACCCCAAGCTCTACACCTTACATGGTCCTGGTGCTGCCAAGTCTTACATCTGAGCAGAAGCAAAGGCCCCATGCACGCAGCTGACTCCAAGCAAGGTGTCAATCCTTGCCAAACGCTGCTCTCCTTCTGAAAACCCCTGGTCAGAGACAAGCTGCAACCACCAACACAATTTATTTAGCCTGCACTCACTTCTCCTGCTGGCTATGAAGAGTCCATGGCAAAAAGACTGCCCCTGAGCCAGCCCCACAGCAAGAACCTGCTCCAAACACCAGCTCTCATCCCTCCCACCTCTCTCCTGATCAGAAAGCAGAACAGGCAGAGAGCAGGTGTGCCTACTGCTAGGCTGGCATTTTCGGAGATCATAAGGTTGACTGCAAGTGTATGCACCTAGATCATCTGAGAGGGGAGAAGCTGTAACACGTGGTAGGGCTTTCTTTCCGTGCTGCTACAAAAATGAAATGAAACTGGAAACACAACTTGAAGCACAAAAGAAAAATTAGGAAACCTAAAGGCTGTACCAAATTCATGTAATTACAACTACAGGTCTTAAGGAACTCCAGTTCTTTAATATGAAAATGCATAGTATACAATTTTTAATCATATATTGTCATATATCACGTGTCTAGCTTTATTTCTGATGTCTTACATGCCACTAAGTTGGAAAGAAGACACAAGGACTTACATCATGTACACTCCAACCCTGCCCCAGCCACAATTTAAGGAACAGCCTGCAGAAGCAGCCCATGACACTGAGAAGTATTCACTGTACCAAAAATATGTTTTATTGTTGTTACTTGTCTCACCTATCACCACAAAGGTCCCCTCAAATTTAGCAATGCAGAAAGGGAGAGCATCAGGATAAAACAATGCCTCCTTCAGCATATTTTAAAGGGGAAAAAAAACATCCATGGATGCACACAGCGTACCTACAGCACTTTCTGGAAGCTCCCATTGTTCCACTTTGCAATCCCGTGTCACTCTGCCATGTACTTTCGGTTATCTGCCCTAACAGCTGCTAAAATTACTGTTGCTTGGAGAAAGCAAAATAAAGTCATTTGAAATAATGGCAGGTTATTAAATTATGGTGTTGTGTTAAATCAAAACTGCATTACATTCTTAAACAACAACAATAAAATAATTAAAAAAACCTAAGTGTATGGAAAATGTTAAAGCAGAAGAAAGTACATCCAGCCCATTCGGCAATCTGAAGCTTACTTGTGGTATTCCACAGGCAAGCAGGATTTCTGGGGCAAGAAGGGACAGATGCTGAAGCAGCCCTTCAGATTCCCTATGAAATGCCTCCAGTCACAGTTTCCAGTCTAAAAGAATCTGCTCCTCTGCCTATCAGTTTCATGTCACCAGACTGGACCATTACACCCATGAGTGCATAGCCACATCTTCATAAGCTCCAACAGCAAGCAGGACGGTAATTTTTGGTTTTACTTTTTTTAATAGGATGTTGATATTTGATACAAGCAGAGTCCTTTAATTTGCCAGCAATGATAACTGAAAGTTACAGCATTAGACTAAAACCAGAAAGTGTCAAAAAGGAAGGTCAGTTCTTACGATGATAAGCACCCCCGTTCTGGCTCTGTGTTACCATTCTTCTCCACAACCAGATTTATTCAAGATTGAGAAATATGGAGAGGAAAAGGAAAGTGCAAAACGTACCACAGCACTAAAAGTTCCCCATTTTTATTCCTATTTCTATCTTCACTTCTATTGACTTCAACACCAGATCCCATTTAAAAAAAAAAAAGAAAAAAAAAAAACTACAACAAAAGCCTAAATTTGTGTTTAATCTGTGCTCCATTACTACACCGCGGCAGCTTAAACAAATCTATTTACACACCCGTGCAAGTAGCCTTATTTGCATTAATCAGAATGACACATGTTTTATAACTCTTTTGCAACTTAACAGCCATTGTAGATTTTGCTCCAAATTTCAGTTTTGAGAGCTGAAGACTTTGGCGTCCTCAACGTACAGCGGAGGTCCTGTACACACGTTAGGTGTTGCTGGACCTGGCAGCCCAGTGTCACAGCCCGAGGTGCAGCCAGGGGCCGGGCAGGGGGTGCGTTTCCCTAGCTACACACACACCTGCACAGGGAGACTGCCCCAGCTAAACTGAGAGCTCGTGCAAACACAGACGGCACCAGCGGTCTGGCCTCGTGCCACCTCATCAAGTAGTCTCTGAAGTGGCCCCCAGATCTTACGGTCTCTCCAGCAGCTGGCCTGGACATCCTGATCTCTCCTGCTGTGCACCTAAGGACCCTCTGATCTCACCAGTGCCGTGCCTGCACTCACAGCTCGGTCCCTGGCTCCCAGCCTCTCACTTTGCTGACCGTGCGCCAGCCCAGCCCGATGTTCTCCACCCACGGCGCCGCAATGGGCTCACCCACACCACATGTGTGCACTCCGGACCCTCTGCTACCAGCGCTTTGGACTTGTGCTCCCAGTCCACCACGGGTACTTAGACCATCTGTCTCCAGCCACAGAGGTCCCTATAGCTTACAGGACCGACTGCCCCTGTTGCTGGAGCTCCAACCTCACTATGCACAGGTAAACACAGAATGAAGAGTCCTCCCATGCAGGAAAGCAGTTAGAAATGGAGCTTAATGAGAAAAGGGAACAGGCTGTGGTAATCTGGCACAGAGCACGGCCCTTTTATCCCTTTACCCATCTATTTGCTCATACTTGTTCCCCTGCAAACCACCTGGTCACCTTCCTTTGGTCCCTATCCTACGCATCCCTTAAGTTCTGTACAACCACAAGACGCTCTTCTGCATCCCATAACATGACCCCATACCTTGTAGGCAGTTACCCACCTCAACCCTGTAAGATGATCTAAAGACACCTGGCAGACAGGGTGCTGGCTCTCCTGTGACAGGGCAGGGAGCTTCCTCCCTGTATGATGTTAATGGTTCTTCCCTCCTTCACCGTTGTGCCTCTCTGCTCCTCTCTGTTCGTGGAGATGAGGCTTTTATCCCATCTTCTAAAATACTGTTCTCAGTCTGCTGGCTGTGCTGAGAAGGGTTAGGGTCCTCCCTTAGGGGGATCCGTAAGGAACAGGAATATATGACACTGGAGCTTACCCCCCAAAACCACCTTTCATATTTTTAAGCCAACTCAGACCATAAAACCTTCTGGAGTTGTTTCAGAGGAAACACATTCAACAGCGGAAAATGAATCTGGGGTTTCGCAATTCACAGCATGCAGCACAGACTGCAGATACCTCTGCACCTGTTTAATCCCAGCGCCGCCCCGCAATCACTTTAGAGTAAAATCCTGTAATTTCACCGTGACAAACACGAGTGGCAGACACACGGCTGGCTCTGCCCTGTACCCTTGGCTTGGCGGCGAGTGCTGGGGCCCAGCACACCGCAGCCGTGCCCTGAGGCTGCAGCGAGCAGCCAGCCGAGCCGTGCCACCGTGCCCCCGGCAGCCACACCGGGCACCACACCGCCCCGAGCCGAACCCCCGGCGGCACCGCCGGCTGCCCAGCGCCCAAGCAAGCAGCACCACAGCCTTCCCCTAGCAGCTCTGCGTGCCCATACCCGCGTTTGTCACACGAAGCTGCACTCACAGCGGCTGCAGGCTCCCTGCCCGCCAGGACCCCGCCAGCAGCCACCGCTCCGCAGGCGCCGCCCGCCGCCGGCCCGGCCGCCCCGCTCCAGGAAGTCCCCGGCAGCGGCACCGCGGGGCCGCCCGCCCCGCTCCGTCCCCCCCCGCCGCCCGCCGCCGCCCCCCGACCCCGCTCCCGCTCCCGTCCCCTCACCTCACCGGCGGGGGCCCGGCTCGCCCTCAGCCGCTGGCCCCCGCAAGGCGCCGCGCTCCGCCGCCGCCCCCATGGCGCTGCCCCGCGCGTCACCCGGCCCGCCCCGGCCCTGCCCCTCCGCTCCGCTCCGCTCCGCCCCGGCCCGGCGGCTGCGGGCCCGGCCGCCCTACCGGCCCCTCTCCGGCCCGCTCGCCCCCGGGAGCGGCCCTCAGGCCGGGCGGCTGGCGGCCGGCAGCCCCCGCCGTGCCATGCTGCGGGCGGTTGCTAGGGAACGGCCGCGGAAATGGCGCCTGGTGGCCCCGGGCGAGCGCGGCCTGCCTCCGAGAGCCGGCGGGCAGCGCGCCCCCGGTGCGTTTCCTGAGGGGAATTGACTAAGCACGGAGGCGGATTGTGGATTTGAAAGGGGCTTTGCGTTGTATAGCCATCCTGCAAGCAGCAGGGAGTTAATGGGGTTTTGCAGTTCCCACACAGAGAACGTAGAATCATTAAAGTTGGAAAATAACCTCCAAGATCATCTGGTCCGACCATCCCCCTATCACCACTGTCACCCACTAAACCACGTCCCTTAGCACCAGGTCCAACCTTAAAACCCCCAGGAACGGTGACTCCACCACTGGGACGTGTGTTTGTAAGAGGACTGGGGTGCAGAGAAGTGAGGGCAAGAGCCGGTCCTTGGTGAGGGCCACCAGTTCCTGTCAGCGGAGCCCACTGCACACACTCCATATCTCCCTCCCCATGACTCTTGCTTCTCCCTCCAGCCCATCCAGAGGTCTGGTTCAAACTATAGCATCACCCCTCATGGCAAGAGATGTGTCCTTGTTCTTTGTCTCCCCTCTTTCTGAAAAAACAGGGACACTGTGGCATGTGTCCTCTCCTTTGTTTTCAGTTCTTTTTCTCTGGAAGATGAGGCATTCGCGATAGGTACACAAGATTCTGGCTTTTGTATGGGTCAAAGAAACTCTCATGTGGCTTCAGGTCACTGTTTCCAGTCCTGTCCCATCTCATGGTTTGCTGCACCCTCAAAATAATAATTAAAAGCAACTTAGGAAATGGTATCTCCATGAGCTAGTTCAATCAGAGAAGAAAGGACAAAAGTGTGGTGAATACAGTTGTTGTTGTAGAGGAAAAGTTTGAGGGTTTGGCATTAATAAATCTGACTATAAACTATTAAAAGGCAATGGAAATTGCAAAGGCTGCAAAAGAGAGAGAGCTGTCTTTACTCATTTCCTCCTTTTTTTCCCCTGGCTAATTCTGACTGGAGTTCTGTCCACCCATGCCCAGGGCATGCCTTAAAATTCTGAAATAAAGTGAAGTTTTCAAAATGTCTCACCTTATGGATGATGTAATAGGATGTAGTTGAATGTAAGGCTTCGTTTTGCTTGGCACCTGTGTTATGGGTGTGGCACTGTCAAGGATCGTGGCCCGTGTATATATACATATGCTACACATTCTCATATTGACACGTTTACTGAGCCATCTTATTCTTTGTTAGCTTAATTTGAAAGGAAAATTTCAAAGAGAAGGTGGAATGTACCGTAATTTAGCAAAGGTCAATTATGGTCTGCCAATATTGGTGTACACACAGTGTTTGCTTTAACAAAGGTGGCTGGTTTGGCCACAGTGTAATGGCTGTTTCATGTTTTATGGAGAAACTTGCACAGCAAACATACAAGCTGTTTTTTTTTTTTGTTTGTTTGTTTTTGTTTTGTTTTTTTTCACTTGGGGATGGATAAGCAGCCTGTGGGTTCAGAGCGATGGAGCATGCAGAGCTGGACTTCCTCTAAAGGGCTGCCCGGTATGAGCTGCGGTAGCAAACACTTCTGCAAACCTTCTGTAGTGCTGCTCTGCTCTGCACAACAAGGCATGCCTCTGGGTGGCTCTGCAGAGGGAAAAGCCATCCACTTGTTCCGGGTAGGAAAGGGGAGCAGCCTGGTGCTCTCTATTGCTTGTAGGGCCTGCAGATCTGCTTGACCACAGTCCTTTCTAGAAATTCACTACTTCTGTGAGAGACTTTATCCTCTGCTCACATCACTTACTTTCTTGGGTATGTGTGGCTGGGAATGAATGAGAGGGAAATTAACATTTTAGTCATTTAATTTACAAGGAAATTGGTCATTTTGGTCTTCATAGCAGTATATAAGAAAGGAAGGAAAGACAGATCTTTCCCTATCCAGACAGGCTAGCTGTAGTCAACAGAAGGACTTTTTAATGCATGCTTTCAAAAGATGACATGGTAGAGGCAGGGAAAGAGGCCCTCAGCCACTTTACACACCCTCATGAGCTGCCTGGCTGGGCATCTTTACCTGTGAGCCCTCTGGAGAGCACTCCAGAGTACACATCTACTCTAACAGCTACAGATCAGCTACTTAACCCTGCTCATTGCCATGTACAGGAGGCTGAGAATGCAGTTTTCTAAATAAGGGAAAGGACAAAGTTCAGGTGGAAAAGGAAGTGCTGTTGTCATTTGGCAAGTCATTGGTGGTATACATAATACACTTAAATATTTAATTAGATATCCAAGGTGAAACTGTGACTTCCTTCCACAGGTCACTTTCTACATGCTGATGGCTGGCAAGAAAACAGCTTTTCTAGGTCAAATAGGAGGATCTGGATAGGCTGGAACGATGGGCTGAGGTCAACTGCATGAAGTTTAACAAGGCCAAGTGCCAGGTCCTGCACCTGGGGCGCAATAACCCCAAGCAGAGCTACAGGCTGGGAGAGGAATGGTTGGAGAGCTGCCAGGCAGAGAAGGACCTGGGAGTGATGGTGGACAGTCGGCTGAATATGAGCCAGCAGTGTGCTCAGGTGGCCAAGAAGGCCAACAGCATCCTGGCCTGCACAAGAAGCAGTGTGGCCAGCAGGGCTAGGGAAGTGATCATCCCCCTGTACTCGGCTCTGGTGAGGCCACACCTCGAGTACTGTGTTCAGTTTTGGGCCCCTCGCTACAAGAAGGACATCGAGGTGCTCGAGCGAGTCCAGAGAAGGGTGGCAAAGCTGGTGAGGGGCCTGGAGAACAAGTCCTACGAGGAGCGGCTGAGGGAGCTGGGTTTGTTCAGCCTGGAGAAAAGGAGGCTCAGGGGCGACCTTATGGCTCTTTGTAAGTACCTTAAAGGAGGCTGTAGTGAGGTGGGGGTTGGTCTATTCTGCCATGTGCCTGGTGACAGGACGAGGGGGAACGGCCTAAAGTTGTGCCAGGGTTATTTTAGGTTGGATATTAGGAAGAACGTCTTTACTGAGAGGGTTGTGAGGCATTGAAATGGGCTGCCCAGGGAAGTGGTGGAGTCACCATCCCTGGAGATCTTTAAAAGACGTTTAGATGTAGAGCTTAGGGATATGGTTTAGTGGAGGACTGGTTAGTGTTAGGTCAGAGGTTGGACTCGATGATCTTGAGGTCTCTTCCAACCTAGAAATTCTGTGATTCTGTGATTCTGTGAAATTCTACATACTCTCATGGATAGCTGTTTTGTTTTCTTAACAATTTATTCAATGATGAATGGTCTTATCTTGACTTCATTTACACCATTACTTTTATGAATAATCATCAAAGACCATGAAAATATATATTAATTTCCATGTGTTTTAATTGAAAGCTGCTTCTGTGTTCTCCATTCTCACTCATTTTTGATCAAAGAGATGACCAGATTAAATGTTATATTTTATTTGCTTTATAGTATTTATTAAAAAAATCCCATTATCTTGGCCTTTCAGACTAAGGGAGACCGTTCTCTAAGGAGCCTATTCTGTGTCACCTTGTGAACCCACAAAGTGTAGCTGTAGGCACGCTGGCCTAGATGAGGTACAAGTATAATTCATGCCTACACTAACTGCTAGAGCAAGACAAAGGCCTTTAGGAAAGCATGCAAAGTTTCAACTTACCACCCAACCTTTGCCCACTTGTGAAGGCACACACTAGTTTGGTGCTTGGTCCTTCCTTTGGGTGTCTTGGGACAATTAGAACCATATACAAAGCTGTAAAACTAATTTATTTACTGTCATCTATTTGAGAAAATGGGATTTTAATATAATAAAGAGGAGGGTTCTCTGTGCTGAAGCGTGTCACCCCGCTTTCCCTTTACTCAGAAGCACACCAGCTGCCTCCCAGTCTGACCACCTATTATGGTAAGGAACTTCACTCCCTGCATTGCTTGCACAAACAACAATGGAATTGCCATGCGATAATACACACCACTGATCTGTAAAGTTAGAAGTACTCTCTGCATTTAAACAATGTACAATATCTGCATTGCTATTCACGTTAATTAGATCTGCTTGTAACAAATAATTGACTTAAAACAATCCACTGTGAATTTATAGATTAGTATTCGGTGCCTGCCAAAAACTTAAATGGTACACCTCGAGTGGCAGAATAAAAAATTAATCACTGGATCTTGCTGAACATGTGTTATTTAAAGAGCACTTTAAGAGAGTGTGAAGTGAAGGAATTTTGTTCGTTACCAAAATTAAAGAGTGTGAAATGTCTTTGTATTTTTGTTAGAAATATTGGACAAAATGCAATATGATATTGTCCTGGAAATTCTGCAAGAAGAGCACATCCCACAGTGATTCTGTCCGGCTTACAGACCTGCCCCAAAGAGGACTTACAAATGCTTGGGGCTACACCCCTATTTCTAAGTAAGACAGAGCTAGGGATCATTCTTTGGCATAATTATTTTACGATTTTTCAGTTCAAACTAAGTTGAGGGCTGTTTGGCATCCTGCCAGAATGACATTTTTGTATCACAAAACTGAGAAAACGATGCACACTTTTAATACTGGGCAACGTGGAGAGCAGGCATGCATAACTGAAGGGTTATGAAGTCTGCTGGGATTCCCCTGGCGGACTGCACTGTGGATGGGGGGAAACCTCAGTCCTGCCCATAGCACTCCTTAGAACTAGCTCTTGGCGGGTGTTATTCTGTAAACCATGCCCAGGGATTTTCTCAAGGAATGCTGCTTGGCATGGGCATAAATCACACTGACAAGTGTGGTAATAATTACTCAGCCTACTGTACTGAAATGTACTTGCTGGCCCTGCTTTATTTATAGAAATAGTGTTGAAAAAATGACTTAGGCACCTAAGAAAAATGCACCTCTTTTTATTCTTACTGATATATTTCTATATAGATAAGTAAATTTCCGTTTATTCTACAGCTACAAGCAATTTAGAAGGTAGCAATGGCAAGAGCAAATACTTTCTCTGTCAAAGCCTATAAAAATGACACATCAAAGGTCCCAAGCAAAAGAAGTACATTTCAGAAAGGCTTGAAGAGTAGCCAACACTTGTGGATATATTCTTTTGTTTGCCTATCTTGGACTTGTTTCTGGCAAAAGTGAAAGGTTTAATGGATCGTTGTGAGCTAAAATGAAATTCGAGCATTAACATCGTATATTTGTATTTCTGTGAGAGTCAATAGAAAATTTTAGTTGGCTCTTATTTCCTTATTTTTCTTTGGAAAAAAAAAAAAAAAGGATTAATAAAAATGTTGGAATTAATATTGGAAAATAACCTGTTAAATTAGTAGAATTATCCACATCGTTATCTGACATCTATGATGAAAAATGAGGTACTGTTCAGTACAATACCTCATACACGCAGAACAAAGTTTTCTCCTACTTTCCAGTCCTTCAATTGTTCAATTCTTTTAATCCTTTTGAAATGCTACTGCATTTTGAGTTTCACTAGAATTGGTTTTCATCTCTTTAGGTTTTTGTCTCTTTTTGGTTTTCTTCTCTTTCTCCAATTACAAAATTATTTTTCTTCTCTTTTACCTTCTTCTAATATGTAAGGAAACAAAGCTATTTTTACAAAGCCTGTTGTCAGAGTTTCTAGCTAGGGAAGAATAAAAGGGAGAGACATTCTATTTTACCATTTATACAATAGAAATAGCAGCAATAAAAGTTTACTCCTGTACAGATTTCAGAATTAATTCCTAGGAAAAAAGCAGACTAAATAGCTATAATAAAGGAGCAAGGCAATCATTTGAAGGGTTCAATACTGTTTGATTTAACAGATTAGTAAAAAGGCATTATACGCCGACTGTGTAGCAAGTATGTACTTTGGTGAGAAAACAGGAAAAAAATACATTTTTTTTTCTTTTAACGAAAATAATTGGCTCAGTGTATGTGCTATTGCAGTTGTTTATTTTCCACACTGCAAAGTGTTACATTTGCCAGTCTAATTATTTCATTGCCGATCTTTGTTGTATTTGTTCTCCACCCATATTTGATAGCTGCAAACACTAAGTGAGACGATTTCTCATTTTGAGGCAATAGCTCTACCTAGTGATGGGAAAGAGCAGCTGCACTCATACGTTTTAGAATAGTTTCTCAGTCCTCTGCCGAAGACCATTTTACTTTCTTTGAAAAAATTATCCACATGCAGTATTCAATAATTGTCATTCTTCCTCTATTGTTGTTCTTAAGTGTATTTAGGAGGGCACGTATGTGCATCCAAGCATATTTCCTGGGACACTGTTGATGATATCTTCCAGATATGTCACAAAATGAAATACAATGCTTTTAAAAGACGAAAGCAGCACTAACGATGTGTGTGAAAATGACTTTGTTAGAATCGAGTCTAGTTATTCCAAATGAAAAATACATTCCAGTGTGTTTAAGACTCTGTTATATACATTCAAACATAGATTTTGCTGTAACAACTTTACATCAGCTAGACACATCTCTTACAGTGGAACTTAGCTCTGCTCTATATGAAAAGGACCTTGCTTGTATTAAAACATCTACTGAATTGGGCAAAATATCACAATGGGTCAATCACAATGAAGAAGTGAACTGAAGATTGTAATTTTTAGTTAATCCTGCCACACTGACTCTATCTGTTAGTTTAAATGCTAATTCAGCTGACACTTAGTCTTTCTTACTGTACGAAGAAGAACCAGAATTTAAATTAGTTCTACCAGTATGACTAAAAACTCTAGAGAATTATTCTGCTTTATGTTATATTATTAGCATCAGACAAGTAATTTTTCTGTCTCGTTTTACAAGTGGTTAAAAAACCATATGTAATAGTTCTTTGGTTTGGGGGTTTGTTCACCGACCCCCAGGGAAGAGAGCATAAATTACACCGGATTTCTTCTCATTAGCCAAGACCACTATTCAGTTAAAGTCAGCAGTGTTTCATTCCTCTGTGGTCCTGGGCCTGCTTACAAAAGAGCCATTGGTATGCCATATGCCATGCCTCCAATGTGCGCTGTATGGCCAACAGCTCTTTCAACAACCTTTTCTTGTATGTGCTAAGACACATGGGGGACAATGGAAGGACTTGGGACATTAAAAAAGGATGCTGCAGTAGTGCAAAATGCCAAGGCTTTTGTGCGGGTGGTAACAAATCACCTTACTTTGTTTTTTCTCCCACTGCTGCACTAGACATGCCTTTCTAGTGCTTTACTGAAGATCTGAATGCCCAGCTCTAGAAAAGATATTCTTTTAACACTTCAGTGCTGTGACCTCTCAACTCTGAGGTCAGAGCAAGCCTTATTTGTTTTCAAGCTTAACATAATTAAGTAGAAAGAAAAGAAAAAGGATTAAATAAGAGAGACGACAGCAATAGAAACTCCCAGGGGGAGAGACGACTACTTTTTATAGCAAGAGAGGATTTTGTCTGGAGGAGAGACAAACAGTCTGCATGTCCTTTAAATGTCTCCAAAGGATAAAAAAAAAAAAAAGAACACAGGGGAATAAAAGAAAAATAGATATATTCAAAATTATAGGAATAAGCAGCTCTGCAATAGCTCGATAAGGTCTTTAAAAGCTGTAAACTCAAAGCTCTCTGACATGCGGTGCAATCCCCCTGGGTAAAAGGTAGACTAAGGCTCAGACAAATGTGAGCCTATCTTGCTTTGAGCTACAGACCTGCAAACAGTTTTGAATTTGATAGTTTCTGTTTTCAGTTTTTTTCCCCACTCAAATATGGGTATGAAAGCATGGTGCTGCCTGAGTTCTTGAGTGCAATCACTCAAACTTTCACCTAGTTAGCATATCGTGTAACTATTCCCCTGGGGAAGAAAAACCAAGATAGGAAAAGGGCTTTGCTCTCTGCATATGCATATCCCTGACACATAGCTGTATGTCATATTACCAGAACACCTAGCATTGCAAATATTTCCTGGTAAGTGTACATATATCCAACTGCATGTCTTTATATTTGTAAAGATAGCCAGAGTACACATGTACATTATCTTTGTTAATCCATGCAGCTGGGGAGGAGAAACTGATCTCCAGCTTCCACTGGGTCCTGCCCACCACTAATATCTCCCAGTGTATAATGGGACTGCCAAAGCTATCATGTTCCTGTGGGGCTCCAGGAGAAGCAGCCTTCTGTCTTCAAGTACAGTTCCTACCCTAGAAAATATACCAGGCTGCTGCCAGAACGAGTGTTTGCTGTTTGCCACTTGATTCTCCCTGCCCCAAGAATGGCATTATATTCTTGTTACAGTGTGCATTCAGGAAGAGAAGATGGAAGCACATAAAGTGTAGTACACAGTCTTCAACACCAAAGTAATTTGTGGATGCTGGCAACCACAAATCCTAGTAGCATATCCTGTTCAGTTGGGCCTATGATGATATGTGGCAAAGTGCTGTGCATTGAATACAACAAGGAAAAACTTCAAGCTGGCAAATGCAGGATTCTTGGTGATCAGCGACCAGTTTACATCATGAACATCCAGTCACTATGAGTTGAAAAAAGGATAGCTTGAGGCATCTGGAATCCAGAAACCGCCTATTCCCATGACTGCATTACTACACCAGTTGGGACTGGAGACAGAAAAAAAAAAAATGCTGTTGTAATTCAGGATGTGTTGAAGGCTAAATGGAGAGTAGTTGGCTCAAGCTAGGAATGGATACATGATGCAAAGGAAGTCATAAGGGCGTGGACAAGACATATATCACTCTCCTCGCCCCTCCCCAAATCTCCCATTTTTTAAAAACAGAAAATGTTTCAGAATTATCCTTATCATCCTTCACATTTTTGGTGACAAAGCGTCTTTAACAATCCATATTTATGCAGATGTTCAGACGGGATGCAGAATGTTCCCCAGCTATTCACTACTAGTTGCCATGCAGAGGGGTGGTACAAAGGCTGAGTCGAGGCAGATTACTAGATGTTTTACAGTCTTGCCCTACCTAATGGCCTGGCCTGTAAATCCACTCATTGTGATCTTAGTTGTCAACATAGGGCCTTCAATTCCTGTTGGAGAAACTTTGGAGTATGTGCATTTGATGCTGACATAAAAGGGAAAGGATTTCTGTAGCATTCTGGCTGTTGTCTTCTACTTAAGATCTTGTTTTCTTGAACAAAAACTCTTTTTCTCTTTTCTCCTGGTGAGAGCACAGAATGGAAACAGAGGTTGGAGAGCCGTGGTCACAAAAACAGCTGAAACTTGTTCTCATGCAAAAAGCCAGAAGTCACGAGGGACACATCAGAATGCTACTCTCTGTAAAACCTCCAGGTACTGCAGTGATCGCTTTGAAACCAAAAGACTTTCACTGCATGTCTCTTTATATCACAACCTCTGACTTCTCCGCTGTCCCCTTGGTTCTACCTGCCCTACAAGCAGATTTCATGGATCTCACAGAACTCATACATTTCCAGTCTTCCAGGCATGCTGGTGGCACCGCATCTGATGGATGAAGATAAAGTATTAATCTTTAGGGAAAAAACTGAGGAGCACAGACTTCAATGACGAGCAGTGCTCAACTTCTGACCACCTCAGTGCAATAGCTAACATAGCTGCAACAGTTCAATGACATACAGCCTTCCAAAAACTGAGTGTGAAAGCAAGCCAGCTGACCAAGAGGAAACAGTGGACTTGAGTGTTATTCGTAAGTCAGTGCATATTAATTACTGCTTGCAAATTGTCAAAGGGGCAGCATCTTCAAAGGGAGCAGATGCAAATTCTCTAATGGTAGTAGTACGTTAGCCAAGCAGAAAAAGTGTGAGTTTGTTGAAGGGCAGGGTCAGAAAGGAAGGCAGATGACATTTACTCATACTTGTCCATTCCAAAGGATATCTTTGCCCCCCTTAGTTTCTCTACAAATTGTCTACAAATATCCAGTAACTCCCACTAATGCCTTTCTGGGGCTTGCTCCTCCTTTTCTACATTATACTTACTTACCTGGTCTCTTCCACTCAATTAATTAAATACTCAATTACCTGTTGCCTCCAGTGAAAGCTCTCTGCCTTTCATTTCAGGTGTCCCATACCTCCAACAAAGCCATTTTGTCAGCTACAATACAGCTGTGCCCTTCATTGCCTGGTATCACCCATGAGCACCAGAATTCTTAAGACTAAAAAAAGAAAAGAAAGAACAGAAGCACTTCTGGTTCCTTCGTGAACAAGTAAGACATAAGCTACCATTTTAACGTTAATGACTGCATTACTCACCCCTCTTCATCATTATTTGTGAGTCATCACCCATGGTGCAACATTTCGAAAAGTTCTTTCTAGGCTTATGACTAGGGAGATGACTCATTTCTGAGGTACTGGAACTCAGCCACTGCTCTAGTACAGAGTCACATTAAGGCTAAGAAGAGCAGGGGACACGGGAGGAAAAAAATGACCTGGCTCTTCCCTAACTATATATTCCTGCATACTCTAGCTGGTGGTCCTGGAATGCCACACTGGGACGGTGCCAAAAGGTCAACAAAACCTTCCTCTTCTACTAGTGACAGCCAGACTTTTCTCTGGCTTTTCTCTGAGTAGCCAGAGGAGAGATTCTGGACATTGGGATACGTAGAACCTTGACCAAAAGTCAATCTAAGCCTGGCAATTATCAAAATAAGGAATACAGATCTGAGTCTTCTTGCAAAGAGTCTGATTTACAAAGACGGCTGCGATCCTGGCATACAGAAATGGGAAAGCTGGAATACTTCCACAAGTTGCTCTAAGGAAATAGTGGAGAAGACAACGCTATGGAGAAACTAATTACACGTGACAATGTCTGCAGAAGGGGGAAAACTGAGAGGAAAAATGACTGAGGAATGGAGCTGGGAGACTCTGGGGCATAATTACATGTGGTGCTGTATAGAGACATGATAAAAGCAAAGGCTGGACACGGAAATACAACACTTAATGTAAATGGACAGTAAAGGGCTACTTGGCCATAGTAAAGAAAAGGCTAGAAAAGGACAGAGACTGTATCAGTTATTACCTGTGCTATTGTAGCTAGAGAACAGTAAAACTGCCAATGTCTGAAAATAGACTTTGTCTGGTATTTCTCCCATTTGTCCTATATTTAACACCATAAACTTTGTTAAAATGGAAGATAAAACATGCAAGACATGCTAAAATGTAGCAGTTATTTCCAGTTTTTACAAGAGGGTAGTAAAAGGGAGGTGAAATATGTGGCTGTTATCCAGTGTGCCCCAGGGATGCAGACATTAGTGATGACTTTGGCAGTTTTTTTAGGCTGTGCTTGCCCGGCCTTTCTGTGTGACTTCCTACAATTTGCTTCTCACCGCTCTCCTTCACTTTCTCCATGAAAGGACCTTAATTTTCCCAAATGCTTTTGCATTTGCTATTGTAAAGTACTGCATGAGATCCAGTTATGACCCAGGAACTCCCCATAAAATAAAAACACCAAGACAGCAACCTAAATCTAAGCAGACTCTTCCAAAAATCTTTTCTGTGTGTCTTTGCGGGTAGGAAAGAAGCAAAAGAAAAAAAAAAAAAAACACCATTCTGTGAGCTGTGTCTTGATGTGCCACTGCTCTCACTCTGCTTGTCCAGGCTGTGCAAAGCCTCTGTGAACTGCACACCTGGCACCGCAGCTGCTCGAAATCTCAGCGCTGTTTGGTTTAGGTGTAGGTGAAGCAGTGCTGAGTGGAAGCTTCCATATGTTCACGGCCAGCTCAGGAGCCTGCTTCTTATCCATGCAATACCTTAACTCACTTTTCTTTCTCCAATATTTCATTTTAAAGGGTTCTTAAAGATCCTTTTAAGATTCCACACGCAGATCTCCTGACTGCTGAGTCTCCCTAACCTGAGGAATTTTATGCACTGCAGCTCTAAACCACGTGCACTAAAGCAAGCCATGAAACCGCAGAGCATGTAAATGACTTCTAATGGCACTCCTGAACCTGTGTGGAGGATAAAGCCCCTTAATGAGGCTCAGGCAGCCACCAGAACACCTTTAGCCATGGCACCTTTTATTCAAGACCGAGTTTCCCCCTCAGCGAACGCTTCTGACGGGATCGGCTTTGTAAGCGCTCCCTCTTCCGAGTGAAATAAAGCGGCTTTAGGGCAACCACGCGGGGATCTCCGATGGCTGCACGCCGCCAGTATCAACCTAAGGGCCTCGGCACCGCCCGCAGGGCCGTAGTTTTAACACAGGAGAAAGCAAAAAGCCGCACGCCCAGGCCGGAGGCTCAGCTCCGGGCAGCGGGTGCCTGAGGGGAGCCTCGCCCCATGCCGGGCGGCTCCGGGGCGCACGAGGGCCGCCGGGCTGGAGGCAGGGAGCCGCATGATGAAACCCGGCGGCGGATTTCAGCAGCAGCAGGCGGCGGGGGAGGAGCCCGGCAGCCGGCTCTGGCTGCCTGGCACGGCGCAGAGCCGCCTCTTCCTCCCCACGCCGCAGCGAGGACGAGCGGCTCTCCCCGCCACACAGTAAGCGCCCGGGGGGCGGCGGCGGCTGCTGCTGGCCGGACGGGCACCGGCGGCGCCGCTGCTGCCCCGCATCGCGGCTCGGGAGCGAGGGGAGCCGGGCTGTGCCCGGGGAGGCTGCAGCCGGCCGGGGAAGGAGGGAGGGGGCGGCCGCGGCCCGGGCCCGCTGCCGCGTGGTGCCCAGGGAGCCGGGTGTGCTCGGCGGGGGCCGCGCTGCCGGGGCTCGGGGGGGAAGCCGGGGGGAAAGGGCTCCCCTCAGCCAGCCGAGCGGGGCAGGAGCGGTTTGTTTCCCTCGTGGGGGCTGCTCTTAGCTGCCCCGAGGCACCCAGCAGGGCTGGAGGCACCCTCTGATGGCGCAAATTTTCTCCTCTCCTCGGTTATTAAAGCTGCTCTGCGGGGCATCTCCCCCAGCCTGGCATCGTCCCCTGACATCTCCCCGGGCTGAGACCCCGGCGTGCCCAGGTGGGACCCGGTGTGTTGTATGGCCAAATGTCAGCCCCTGCCCAGCCAAAGGGGAGAAGGGGCTGGGGAGGGGGTCCCAAGCCCCCGGGGGGGAGCGCCCGGTGGGTCCCAGCCCCGGGGGAAGCACTTGGGGCATCCCAAGGGCCAGGGGAGCGCTTGGGGCATCCCAACCCCCTGAGGAGCACCTGGGGCCTTCAGCTGCGGTTTGGCTTCTGCAGCTGGTGTAAATGCTGGGTCTGTGCCTGCTCTGTTGGCTGAGAGCACGGAAAGAGTTGTTGCCCAGGTAGCGTAACTGGGTGAACGGCTTTTTACCTCAGTACCGAAACGCGAGGGGAAGTGCTTGGACTTGTTTGATTTCTGACCATGGGGTTACTTACTTCATGCCTTGGTAAGCTGTAGGATGGGAGAGCGTTTCTCTTCTGAAAGAGCTGAAGGGATCTGCTGCTGTGATGTTACTTCAGTGGGTCACACCCAATGCCCAGAAATAAGTTGTTCTGTTTGTGGTCTATGAGGAAAAACAAAAACAAAACAAGCAAACAAACAAACAAAAAAACCTAAAAGTAGGTTTAAACTGAATTTCTTGAGTTGGACGAAGATTGCTTATCACATTGTGGGAAACTATGTTACCTTATGTTAATGAAGTCTGCTACATTCTTCATCAGTTCTCTTTATAGTCCAACAACCGATAGTCTACTTTTGGTACCTGGGTTCTGTATCTCTGCTTTCTAGGTGTCATCTATTGCATATAGATCAGGTTGATGGTTAGACTTGATCTTGGAGGTCTTTTCTAACCTAAATAACACCGTGATGCTGTTTTTTTTTTAATTGATCATGTTCTTCATTTTTAGGTAACTCAACAGCTTCACAATGTGTGGTATCTGGGCCCTGTTTGGAAGCGATGAGTGCCTTTCTGTCCAGTGTCTAAGTGCCATGAAGATCGCACACAGAGGTCCTGATGCATTTCGTTTCGAGAATGTCAATGGATTCACCAACTGTTGTTTTGGTTTCCATCGCCTCGCGGTTGTTGATCAGCTGTATGGCATGCAGCCTATCCGGGTGAAGAAGTTCCCCTATCTGTGGCTGTGTTACAATGGAGAAATCTACAATTTCAAACAGGTAAGTGTTGTAGGAATCATACATTTCTTTCTTTTTTTATTTCAAAACTGGTAGGTATTCAGAAATTGTTTAAAATGTGGTGGACTAAAATATCAGAGGAAAAAAAAAGCTATCAGATGAAGGAAGAAAAAAGGAAGAAAAATTTCTGGATAAGCTGTCAATCTTTGGTGGCTTATATTGTGACAAACAGTCTTTAATATTGAAAAATCCTTTTTAATTGACAAGAAAGGAAATAGTATTTGTATCTATAGGTTTGAACTTAAAACAAAGGTTCATTCTTCGTTAATCCTTCAGGAGGGAAATTCCAAGCCCCCTTTCTCACCCACCTTCCTCTTCGTAATGCAAATGATTTTAGAGTGTCTTGCACATCAGTTATTTTGGATCTTTCTCCAGTCTGTCAGGCATTTCGTTTTTACTTCTGCATGTCAACCTAGATGTGACATGTCAGTTATTAACTTAAAACAGGAATACATATGTGTTTCTGTAACAACAACAAACACTAGGGAGAAGTTTCCAGTAGGCCACCAAAGTCCTTAGGTGTCTGCAGCTTAAGGCGGAAGCTTTGTGGAGTTTTTGAGAGTCACCTAAACAAGTCTCTAAGGCACAAAACAAGCTGCAACTCTGTCCTGTGTCAGAATATCCCTGATAGGTGTGATATTGCTGCTGAGCATTGTCTATGTGCCTCTCTCCCAGTGCTGAAATGTCCTCACTGCTTGTGTTGCTCATAAAGGGAAGTGATTTAATTCATCTCAATATAGCATATAGTGCGGCTTGCGGTTTTTGACTGATCCTGAATCATGCTGAAACTAAATGCCTAAAATGGATCATAAATTGAGCATGGTAGTATCAGAAATCTACAAATACTTTGAGGTGTCAGTACTTCTAATACGATGCGTTTTTGCAGTCAGGTTACTGTCAATGGTGTCATTGGGAATTTGACTGAAAAGAAAGGAGATTATTATTATTATTTAATCTTGTAAGTATCTGGCTCTACAATGATCTCAAAGGAAGTTGTAGCGGAGTGAGGGCTGGTCTCTTCTCCCAAGCAATAGGACAAGAGAAAATGGCCTCAAGTTGTACCAGGGGAGGTTTAGCTTGGGTATTAGGAAAAAAATTCTTCACTGAAAGGGTTGTGAGGCGTTGGAACAGGATGCTCAGGGAAGTGGTTGAGTCACCATCCCTGGAGGTACTCAAAAGATAGATGTAGATGTGGTGCTTAGGGACATGGCTTAGTGGTAGACTTGGCGGTGCTAGGTTAATGGTTGGACTTGATGATCTTGGAGGTCTTTTCCAACCTAAGTGCTTCTATGATTCTGTGTATGGCAGGGCAAAACGTATGTGAAATGTGTTGTGTCAGCAGGCTATGGTATTTGCTGTGTTTTGTGTTGTGTTTTGTGTTGTGTTTTTTGTTTTTTTTTCTGCTGTTGAAAGGAGTAAGAATCACTCCCAGTTGTGTTACGCACAGAAACCTAGGGGGAATTTAATTGTATAAAACTTGCATTACCATCAGCAGGAATTTGTTCAGTTGTTTTTGCTACCTTGGTTAGGTGCCTTCTTTCTTTATAAAGAAATTTTTGTTTCAGGCTTTCAGCTGCAAATATATATCTGAAACCTACCCAGGAATACATCATTGAAGAAACAGCCATCTAGTTTAGGGCAATGGCTTAGTGATTTTAATACTGAGTCATTCTGAGCCACCTCTATGTTCCATTAATACCAAGTGAAACCAAAGAACATAAGTTAAAGTGCAAAATCATTGGTTATGTGGGGTTTCTTCAGTATTTATGTATTTTTTTTAGTGTTTTATTGAATCTGTCATCCCTATCTTCACCCCAGGTGCCTGGAAGATGTTGAAGGGCCTTTAAAAGTAGCACCACAAGAACACAAAATACATAGTTGGTCTGACTTAGTCTGACAACTCATTTCCTCCTCCCCTACTTCACCTGCACAGGCAAAGTGAAAAGGTTAGATTGAAGAATGGAGGAAGATTATGCAGAAGGAAATACTCTGTGCATAAAACACACTGAAGAATTGCAGTAACTGCACAAATAAAACATAGTTGTTTCTGAAGTACTTTACTCTGCAAAGATGTTATCTGTGTCAGTGTGTTGGAGAGCAGAGAGTTTTAAGTAAATGTTGCTATCTCTATTATCTGACAAGAAAGTGGTATCGAGAGATTTGAGACTACAGGAAATGCTGTTGTCTTTTGTTCCTGGTCCTATTTTGAGTTGGATTTTTAGAACCAGTGCTTGCGTTCTCCTGCCATTTGTCTGTGGAGATGGGGAGGCTAAACTAGTGTTGTGTTTTTGCACTTTGACATCCCCAAAAAGAAATGCTTCTCTGAAAACCTGCTATAATGAACATTGCTTAAGACTACAGAGTCAATCTACGTTGGATGAGAAATTATCTTGGATGGTAATTTGAACACAAAAGTCTGATTTCCTTCACAGGCAGAAATGTTTATGTAACTTTGAACTGTATTTTAAACAGCTTTGTTGTTGTCTTAAACAATTACATCGGTGTTTTGTTTGTTTTTTTTCCAGTTAATAAGAAATGTTTGCAAATACTTATTTGCATTTTTCTTTTTACCTTTTCTTAGTTGCAGAAGCAGTTTGGATTTGAATATCAAACACTGGTGGATGGTGAGGTTATCCTTCATCTTTACAACAAAGGAGGAATAGAACAAACGGCATCCATGCTAGATGGTGTATTTGCTTTCATCCTTCTGGACACAGCAAACAGAAAAGTGTTTCTGGCAAGAGATACCTATGGAGTCAGACCACTGTTTAAGGTGCTGACTGATGATGGATTTTTGGGTGTCTGTTCTGAGGCAAAAGGTAAAAACAGTTGTGTTTAGTGCCTAAATAAAATTAGGTGTTGTTATTGGAGACAACTTCTTTGTCAGGCCCTCCTAAGTGTGAAGAGAAAGTGAACTGTAAGTTCAGTGATAAATGAATTATATTTAGTAGTATAAAATCTATGCATTGGTAAAACAAGCTACAGAGAATTAACATTTGAAGACATTTAATTATCCTTAATATCCCCAAAATAACTTGCAGATTGAGCCTATGGTGTCTTAAATTAACCCAAAGTTGAATATAGTCTATAGAGTTAGGCTAGATTTATGCCACAATAAATGATACTAGTATTTGTTCCTGATATTCTGTAGTGAACTGGGAAATAATGCCATAAGAACCGCTAATCTGTAAAAGCAAAGAATTTTAAAACCCTTCTAAAATTTCCTGTGTCCTTGGATATTTTTTTTTACTGATGCTTATGTTATTTGATGAACTTCTTTTCCGTTTGAGATGACACCTTTACTGTTCCTTTTTTTTTTTTTAACCTAATTCTCTCCAGTCTACATAAATAATACCACAAGTGAATTTCTTGCCTAAAATGACCTCTGACTAAAATGGACTTTCATGGTTGTTGTATATCACTTTTATTATCAGACTCTGATGTAAGTTGACTCCTCTACTAGTAATGCTCAGTGGTACCACAGCTGTACCATCTCTGGTTCTTGGAGAGGAAGAAAGGAAGTGAATATTTTAGGAACTGTATCCTGTAACACTCGCTGTGGATTGGTAGTCTGTCTATAACAGTAACTTAGGAACATTTTGTAGAATTCTTCAAGTAGCATCTGGGTGACCAACAGGTGCAAAACATCCTCTTTCACAAGAGGAGTGGACGTAAGTTTTGGCCACAAGTCTGATTCTTGGCTTCTGTTAAGCAACATTGTAGATGAGCCTGAAACTGATGAATTATGAAATCAGTAAATCAGTGTTAATTAAGCAATCACTTCAGTGATATAGCTTTATTACAACCCCATTATTAGCTTGACTACACTTAATTTTTAACATAAAATCAGTTATTAACTCTTCTGAATTGTCATAAGCATCTTAGATCTTGACCTGGACATCATGTATTCAGTCAGAGAAATGCTCACAGGAGTCAAGTGCTTCTTATCAATTAGTAGAATCACACTTCCTTCGTATGCTGTCAGCCTCAGCTTGAAATGGCTCAGATCTGGGTGTGTAACCTGCCAGAAGCAGAATCGTACTCCATAGTGGCAAGCTGGGCATACCACTTCCTGGATGAGAGGTCTCTAATCTCTAGGTATTTTACAAATAGGAGAGGCGGTGTTTTCTCACCATGCTCTCTAAAGGAGAGGTTATACCTGCCTCTCTTCAAAAGACTAACTGTTTAGAGACTCAAGGTGTCGTTGTCTCTAAATTCTACAGGAGATGAAATTTCAGGCCTCTACATGTCGTAACTGTTTTATTCCACTGATTGCAGTGGAATGCCAATTCTGGATTGTATACATCTAACTGTCCCACATGTAGGGGCCTAACAATTTTTTCTGATCTCTAAGTACCTGAAAGTGAAGTGTTGTGTTTACTGTCACACCAACATTGCTTTCTCCAACCATGCTGCAGATGAGGAACCTAAGGACACTGCATTTTTCCCTCTACCTTTCCATAAACCAGGGCAGACTCAGACTCAGAACTATATTTTTATACCAAATTTAAGATCTGGAGAAAATGGTTTTATATAGTTTTAGTAGTGGGGTTGTTGAGTGAGATGTGCCTTAGCCAATCTAGGCCGATCTAGGTTAAAAACTCTGTAATGCTTTTTGTAACTTTTTTGTTGTTGTTGTTCCTCTTTTATCTATAGGACTTATCAACTTAAAGCATTCAGAATCCTTATTTCCTAAAGTGGAACCATTTCTTCCGGGACATTATGAAGTGCTGGATTTGAAGCCTTCTGGCAAGGTTGCATCAGTAGAATTAGTAAAGTTTCATAGTTATAAAGATGAACCACTCCATGCTGCTTGTGATACAGTGGAAAATCTGCCTTCAGGTAGTACAATAAAACACTTGCCTGTTAATTTTGATTAAAATTTTGATTAAAAACTGGAGGAAAATCATAATCTTTGAATATGAAACTTGAACCGATTGTTTTTTAAAATGTTCCATTTGAAAAAACTGAAACAACCTTTATGATGTAGGAAGTTGAGAATCATTTTTGAAGATATTTATGTACAGAGATGTATGAACTTGCATGCCCTTATTATCAAAGGCGATTCAGACGTAATATATATATATTTTCCTAATCACATAATGCAGCTAATTTTAAGCAGAACTGTTAATGTTTCTTTTGTTTGTTTTTGTTCTTTCCTGGACAGGCTTTGATCTTGAAACAGTGAAAAGTAACATCCGTATTCTGTTTGAAAATGCTGTTAGAAAGCGTTTGATGGCTCACAGAAGGATTGGTTGTCTTTTGTCAGGTAAGTAGCAAGAATTCCAGTGATTACGTCTTTTCTCTCTTCGACACATCATCTACCAGTTAGAAGAAAGTAAACTGACTGTTCTGCTGTGAGGTACCTGAAGTGATCTGAATCTTCATTTGCTTCCTTGGTTACAGAGAACTTGGTGGTTTGTGACCAAAAAAAAAAAAAAATCCAGTTTACAGATATCTTGAAAGTCTTATGCTTTTAAGGTTTAGAGCTGGGATGTTGTCATGTTGAAACACTGACCATTTTTGATGAAGAAAAACCAAAGATAAAAGAAAAAAGAAAAAGTAGGCTTGTTACTGCCTACTTTGCTTTAGCTTCCATCCCAGACTGCCTTTGATTTACCAAATGGCAGTGGAGCATCTGGACCATAATTATTTAGTACACTCTTTTTCAGGTGAGGTAATAGCTTGTGGTTCAAGAACTTGTTCTCTGACTTAGCTGATCAATGTTGTGATTTGGTGGCTCAGTCTTGCAGAGGTAAGGCTTTGTAGCCATGGGACTGACATCTTATTCACTGTGTTTTTGTAGCACTTTGTACTTGTGGCTAGAGTTCTGGTATGCTATTCATTCACGCACTGAGCATCAATAATTACATTCATTTATCACATACTCTATTAAGTGTGCATCTGAATGAGAGAGAACTGAACAGGAAATACTGTTAGAGTATTTCCTTAGCATCATAAAAAGTAGGAGGGAAATAAACAAAACAGAGACACGCAGAGCTGGAACTTCCCAGCTTCAGTCAAAAAGCCTGTTGCAAAACCAAATTTCAGATATTAAATCAGAGGACGGTCAGCTCCTCAAATCCACATGCACACTGTGTATCTGCAGTATATCTAATGTCCTGGGCTGATATAATAACAGAGTATCTCCATGCTTCACAATTTTGAGTATGCTTGGAGCATCACAGTTAGAGAAATGCTTGCACTTCAATCACAAAGGGAGTTCTTCAAGTTCACAGTGGAAACTCAGGTGTTCATTTCCCTGATTTTCACATCCCAAGCACTTGGTTTGATTTCTACACTCATTATTTCTTCAGACTTTGCATGTCTTTTTCTAGAGAAGACGTTTTTTGTCAGGGAAGCATTCCTACAAAGGGAATCAGGGTGGGAACAGATGCAGATGCACTCAGCTGAAAAAACACATGCAGAGTGTAGGAAGCAGAGAAGAGGATTTTGCCTTCTGCTTGTTAGAACTGCAGGCAGGTGTGGGAGAAGAGGTACTGTGCTTTGATCAGTACTTCAGAGAGGGAGCAACAAGTAGAAGTGGTCAAGAAGTAATAGAACTAGCTAGAGAACCTTTTAATTTTGATGTTACAAAGGTTAATTTCACTAAAAAAATTAGAGGTGTTTTTGAAAAATGATTGGGGAAGAGTGGAATCCTTTGACTAAATGTTCTGTTGTAGGTCAGACAAAATATTTTGCTTGACTTTTACTTAATTCTGTTTGATTCAAGCAACAAAACAAATGTAAATAGTTTTATTATTACAGTATCAAATGTGTAGGTAAGAAGAGGATGGAGAGCAGTTTTGGAATGAAGAGTAAAGCCAATTGTAGCAGAGTTGAGAAGGGACATCTCTAGTGATACAACGACTTCAGAATAATTCTTGTCTTAATGCAGAATTTCCATTGATGCTTTTGATATCAAAAGTACTAGTAACTTACTGAAGATGTTCCAATAAAGTCATGTGATTATCTTGTTAAGCAGAGGTAAAGTTTTAGAAGAACTACCTTAGCTTCACGGTACTTAAAAATGAAACTTGCTCATAAGATTCAACTTTCTAGGGTTGGTTCCCTTAGAGGGAAACAAAACACAGTCAAACACCTAACCAGAAATGTGGTTTATCAGGATGGCTTTTTGTGTGTTTTTTTTTAAAGGGGGCTTAGATTCCAGTTTGGTTGCAGCCATTGTTCTGAAACTGATGAAAGAAATGAACATCAATTATCCATTACAAACCTTCGCAATTGGAATGGAAAACAGCCCTGATTTACTGGCTGCCAGAAAGGTACAGTAAATGTGGCTTCCACTTTGCAGCTGCTGAATGTTAAACCATGTAAATTAATGGTGGTAACTTCACGATATGGTATTGATTATAATGCTGATTAGTATTCATTTATTGCTATGATACAAATCAGTTTGCAGTAAATCATTTAGTACGACATTTGCTGCTTAGTTAAATCTTAAGAAAGAGATAACTCGAATCTTAGCCGTTTTTTTCTTGTTTTTGGAAGACTTTTTTGTGATTATTAGCGCGTTGTTACCAACAGGACAATCCCTCAGAGTTGTCCCAATTCTGCCTCTAGGTTTTACAGTCTATCACCATGCTATTGCTCCTATGCTATGACATCTGTATGTATGTTAAATATTGCAATTTAATTGTTATTTTATTTAATTTAGAGCCTTGTACAAACTGTACACTGGAAAGGATAACTGTGGATATACTTTGGGTATCCAGCCTGTTAAGGCATTTGAGCTGCTTTTTCTCTTCAGAGCAAATTTCAAAGTACTTAGATTCTCTGCAGATTTTGTTAGACCTTGGACAAGCAGCTGGATGTTCTGTTGCAGTCATGATTGAACACTGTGTAATTAGGGAGACTGTGTTCCCTTCGGCAAACATACCACTGCAAGTCAGAGTGGTTGCTCCAGTGTCACCTTTTCTTGGCCTTATGTCATCTCATCCTCACTGTGGCAGAAGGAAGTTAGCTGATGCTTCCAGTTTGTGTGTAAAATGGGTGTGTAAAACACAAGGTGTGTTTAAAACAATGTTTTAATTGAAATGCAATACATTATTATAACCTTTTACAAACAGGTGGCAGCACATATAGGCAGCGAACATCATGAAGTAATATTTAATTCTGAAGAGGGAATTCAGGCAATTGAGGAGGTTATCTTCTCCTTGGAAACCTACGACATAACAACAGTAAGAGCTTCAATCGGTAAGATTTTTAGTAACAATTTTTGCTTTATGTTGCTTGAATAAATTTTATGCAAAACCTTGTAGTCATCTACTAGATCCTTCCTTTAGCTGTTGTAGAACTTGGGAAATGAGACTCCCAAGTTCTGCTCCCTAGTCTTGTCTGTGACCTCACAATGAGGCAAAATGAGTTATTAGTTTCAAAGTCACAGACTGTATAAACATTGTCCAGAGCTGTTCCTGAAGTTTTGGGATTAAAAAGAAACTTGATTTTAAAAAAATTAGTTCTATAGGTCTTAGTTTTCTATTGTGATAAATATGAACCTTGGAGGAAAGGAGAAAATTTGCAGGCTGTCTGAGGCATAACCTGTATTTGAGGCTCAGTGTTTGGGTCACTGAATGTTATGATAGCCAAACAGTTATGGTTACCCCATTTCTTGAATAATACTAAAGTGAAGTATTTCTTGTGACCCTCTAGTAGTAATACGTATACACTGAAGTCAGGTAGACTTCTAATGTACATTTGATTCTGAGAAATGACAAGCCATCAGCAGGTCCTTAAAAAGGGTTGCCAACATGATAAGAATGAAAAACCCTTATCTAATGAGGCCTTCTGTGTAATGCCCTTACAGCATTTTACTCAGTTACTCTTGTGTCAGTGCAAAGCATTGTAAACAAGCTAATATACCAAACAGGCAAGACAGTTTTGAAAACTGTATGGGATAAGAAGCTAGAATTTTGCTAAGTGAAATACTGAGAATGTTTGTTTAAGAATGAAAGCAACTTTTCATTTGCCATCCTTCTTTCTTTGCAATTCTTGCTTAATATGAAATACAGCAAAATAAGTCCTTTTCAATAGATCTCTAACACTTATGTTATAAAAGTTTATTGTTTAGTAAGATGCAATGAGGGTAAGACATACTTCTGGTTAATAATTTTTTTTTTTTAAAAAGGGAAAAAAAATGCCCTCGTCTAGTTCAATCCATAGTGGTAGAGAGCTAAGCAGCAGCTTTTGCTGGTATTTTTGTTCTAAAAACTAGAAAGTTTGTTCAGGACTGTGCTGGAAATAATCTTATGCTTAATTTCTAATTGAGACAGAACAACTCTGGTATGTGTTCCTATGGGAATCCGCCAGCATTCCCAGGATCATGAACCCACACAAACACACGTCTCAATGATATTTTGAGGGCCAAGTATAAGTACACAGTTTAGATCTATTTGCAGCACTTGGTTTGTGTGGCTAGTGGTGGCTTTGAATATCAACGACATGTTATGTTAGTGTATTGAAGCAGTTTGCTACAGAAGAACATATTGTTGGAGAGAAACTTCCAAAATGCTAAATTAAATCTGTACTGTATATAATGTATCTATAGCTCTATTTTAATAACTTTCCCCTTCTTTTAAGGCATGTATCTTGTCTCCAAGTACATACGCAAGAAAACAGACAGTGTGGTCATCTTTTCAGGAGAAGGCTCAGATGAGCTGACACAAGGATATATATATTTCCATAAGGTAAATACATTTGCTGTTCAACAGGTGCTTGCACTTGTTTTTATCCCCTTCAACAGAAAACTTCTACTGAGATTTAAGGGTGCAAAGTTTGAGAGTTGGTACAGCTGTATGTTTGTTGAGACTTTCTCCTGAAGTGGCATAAAATCCAAGGGATTTGATTTAATCACTTAAAAAATAACTTTTAAACTTCAAACTTGCTGAGACTATTTCTTGTGCGTATTCTTTGCTAGTTCTGAGATCCTAAATAATCTCCTGAAAGCCTGAAAAAGAAGCTATAGTTTTGATTATCTTCAATGTATACAACGATGTATTTGCAAAGGCATGTAAAGAACTTATACCTTGTAATGTGCTTGAAGAGAGATTATATAAGTAAGTAGAAGGGAATCACAGTGTGCAAGTTGCATACATTTTTGCTTGCTGTCAAGTATTAGCTTGGCATGTTTAAATTCTCACTAAGGTATGTCACAGGTCTGTATGTGGTGATCACTGCCACGCAAATGCAGGACAGCAAGTAGTGGTTCCCTTGCTGCAGCTGTACTAGATCTGTGTGCTACATACATGTGTTTGGTTACAGGCGCCGTCTCCTGAAGAAGCTGCAGAAGAGAGCGAGAGGCTTCTGAAGGAGCTCTACATGTTTGATGTACTTCGTGCAGACAGAACTACTGCAGCACATGGGTAAAGTACAGTCTCTTGCATGATGACTAAACATGATTTAAGAGCCTAAGTGGATCATAGAATCACAGAATGCTTTGGGTTGGAAGGGGCCTTGAATATCATCCAGTTCCAACCCCCTGTCATGGGCAGGAACACCTTCTACCAGACCAGGTTGCCCAGGGCCTCATTCACCCTAGCCTTGAACACTTTCAGGGATGGGGCATCCACAGCTTCTCTGGGAAACCTGTGCCAGTGCCTCACCACCCTCAGAGTCGAGAATTTCTGCCAAACATCTAATCTAAAACCTACCCTCTTTTAGTTTAAAAACATTACTCCTTGTCCTATCACTCCACTCCCTGACAAAGAGTCCCTCCCCACCTTTTCTGTAGGCTCCCTTCAGGTACTGGAAGGCCGCTACAAAGTCTCCCTGGAGCCTTCTCCAGGCTGAACAACCCCAGCTCCCTCAGCCTGTCTTCATAGGAGAGGTGCTTGAGCCTCTGAGCATCCTTGTGGCCTTCCTCTAGACTTGTTCTAACAGGTCCATGGCCTTCCTGTGCTGGTGCCTCAGAGCTGAATGCAGCACTCCAGCTGGGGTCTTAGGAGAACAGAGCAGAGGGGGAGAATCCCCTCCCTTGCCCTGCTGGCCATGCTGCTTTTGATGTAGTGCAGGATACAGTTGACTTTCTGGGCTGCAAGTGCACGTCGCCAGATCATATTTAATTTTTTTTTTGTCCACCCGTACCCCCAGGTCCTTCTCCTCAGGGCTGCTCTCTATCCAGTCATCACCCACATATTCATGCTTGGGATTGCCCCAACCTAGGTGCAGGATTTTGAGCTTGGGCCTGTTGAACTTCATGAAGGTTGCACAGGCCTACCTCTCAAGCTTGTCAAAAAAGTTCCTAAAAAAGAAGTTCATAAAGTATCATAAAAGTTCTTCCACCATTGAGGAAATTGTATAATTTAACTGTTGCTGTTTGAATTACTAAATGATGCAGAATATTGTGATGCAGGATGACATTATTTTTAGTGTCTAGGTCTAAACTACTCTAGGAAGAACATCAGTCTTCAGAGCCATAGTAGCAAATTGCTTGCAGCCTGTACACTGCTTCAGCTCTGCATCTAGTATAAAATCTCCATGTGACTTTGAGGCTAGGTAGCTTAATGTCTCTTAAGGGAAAATACTGAGAAGGGTTCTTTCTACCAAATACTTTTATTTGTAATTTTATTTGTTGCCTCCATTACTCTAATTTCAGTGTCTTTAAAAGCCATGTTATATATAAGAGAATATAAGTACGAAGGCTTTGTACTCTTATAGTTGCTACTGACATAGGAGAGAACTTAGTGTGCAAGTGCTGCAGGATCAGTAGGCAGTAGCTTAATGACCTATACAGGCTCCTTTTAATTGTCTTTTGAAAATACAAACTAAATGCAGATTGTAGAAATGACTGTGGAATCTTTGCTTGGTTCTGTGACATCTTTACAAATGCTGATGCAAATCCCAGTCAGCAACTTGAAGGTTCTTGGTAGTTCTCTGGGAACAACAGCATTGTTCAGTGTGGGTTTTGTATTTATTTTTTACATGAAACCACAGATGTTGCAAATCCTGTAAGACTGTAGTCTGGAAATCATTGTACTAGAAGCCGTCCAGCAGATGGCATCATAAATCATCTGAGATCTGTAGTTAATCCATTCAGACAACAAATTTAACTTTCTAGATCGATTAATTAAATTAGATAGTCATGAATATGCAAGTGAAATGTCTTTCATGTGAAAGCAGGTAATCTTGTATTTATGTGAAAGACAAAGAAAGCTTATGTGGTAGGGAATTTATAAGAGGATGATGTGTTAGGTTAACTCAGTGTCGTTTCTGTTTTTTTCCACTGTTTAGTCTTGAACTGAGAGTCCCATTTTTGGATCATCGTTTTACTTCTTATTATTTATCTCTACCAGCAGAAATGCGAACCCCAAAGGTATGTAAAACTAGGGTTGGATCCAAATGTAAGCTTAGAACACATATCCACTAATTTGTAAGCATGACTGAATAGTTGAATTCAGTCTTTGAGACCAAAGCCAAGCATGCTCTTAAATGTTTTTTGCTGGATTGTTGGACTCTTGGGAACCCTTTTCTGAGCAGACGTTCTGAAAGGAACCCATTTCTTAGTCAAGTATTTAAATCATTGTACTGTAGTTCTGCATTGTACTGATGCTCATGGCATTGTTTGTTGTTCTGAAAACAGAATGGAATCGAAAAATACCTTTTAAGACAGTCCTTTGAAGACTCCAACTTACTTCCCAAAGAAATACTCTGGAGACCCAAAGAAGCTTTCAGTGATGGTATAACATCAGTAAAGAAATCGTGGTTTTCTATTCTTCAGGACTATATTGATCAACAGGTATAGTACCACTTGTTTGTTTGTTGTTTTTCACATTTAAGTCTATTGAGATATTGCTGCCAAGGAGAGGCAGGACATACGCTTAGTTGGGAGAATAAATCTGGGTATGATAGTGACTTGAGTTTCATGGTGGAGGAGCAAGATAAATTTTAATCAACAGTCTTCCAGCTACCTGTGTTGCGTAAAGGCATTTGAAACTGTAGATTTAAAGTAATGCTAGAGCCTGACAGAAGTGACTATGTAAGGAAATGAGCATCATGTAAGTATCTGGATTGCAAATTAGATTATGTGTTGGCAAACACAATTTCTGGGCTAAATTTCTGAAGCAGCTGCTTCAGCTGAAGACACTTGCATGAACTTATTCTGAGGCTGAGTAGTATAATGACTTCATAATGCCCTTTCTTCTTTATTTCATTTGCTTTTTCCAAGATAATGCCCAGCTAAGTCCTTTTGCTTTTTAATGCATCTCCTTGAGTTGCTATCCACTGAATATTTACAGGATTTTTGCATTGGACAAAGCATAATCTCTAGTGTATGAAGGCAGTTTGATCACTGAGAGGAAGGATTAAGAACTCATTTTACACTGCAGCTCTGTTACCCATCCATAGGCCCAACTACACATATTTCTGTGTATTTGTCTGTCCTACCATCGACTGCTTGTATCCCACTTTCCTTCTCTACTGTATCTGCAGACAAGAAAGTCGTTGGGTCACGCAGCAGTGTTGTGCTGCCCCTACTGAGCCTGTACAATTGTGATAGGGACAAATTTCATTCAAGGCTGTGGGGAGTTAGATAGCATGTTGGCAGGGAAAGCTGCTGTAGAAATTACTTAAACTGGTACAACTTTTCATCCTTCCTTTCTTAGCCAGCTTACAGCTGCAGGTGTCTTTTGGCTCTGCATCCCAGGTCTTTTGTTGCTGAGAGCCTGGTTATACAAGCAGAGTCAACAGCTCTGTCCGAGCTAAAAAAAAAACACACAAAAAAACCAGGAAAACGCTTATATGGCAAAAGACTGCTTTAAGTTGTGCCAGTTGATTGACAAGAGAAGGATAGAAAAGAAGGTTATTGGGGATTTTTTTGAGCTAACAAAGGTGATTCTAACCCAAAGGAAATTACATGTAATCACATGTAATACACAGAGAAACATTAACAGCACTGGAAATATATAGTCTATATATAGTCCATAAAGATCAAAGGAGCCTATGGCAAAAATGCACCTGTGAGAAACTTATGACTCTAAAATAAATCTATTTGTATATATATATATTAAACTTATAGGCATTCAGTGGTGAATCCTTGCATGACTCTGATGTGCAGCAAATTGGCTTGTATAAATTAGAAATGTATTTGCATTTTAATCTGAATTTTTCTGTTTTTGTAGGTTGATGACCTTCTGCTTGAAAAGGCAGCGGAGAAATACCCTTTTAATCCTCCTAAAACAAAAGAAAGTTATTATTACCGCCAGATCTTTGAGAAGCACTACCCAGGACGAAGCAGCTGGCTGCCCCACTACTGGATGCCAAGATGGGTTAAAACTGCTGATCCTTCTGCTCGCACATTGAAACATTACAAGTCAGCTGCCCAAGAATAGGCTGTTGAAATAATCCCCCAAATAGAAGTACTGCAAGCAATTTGCATACACTCCACTTTAAAAATAAAATAAAGATAATAATAATAAAAAAAAGAAATATGCAAACCTAAATCTTAAATGGTCTTGAAGATGTGTTTTGACAATGCTACTGGAAATGAGAGCTTTCTGTGGTTAGTATACTATAAAATATACTATAAAATTCACCCTGCTGTACCCAAATTTGGGGATTTATGGGAAAATACTTCATGGACAAGGAACTACTTTATTCAGCAGCACTGTTTCTTATGTGGTGGCCTCAATTGTATTAATTTGCCTTGCAGTCATTTAATATATTTTAATGTGAACTCTGATTTTAGGGACTTGAATAAGGCAAAGTGATGCGAACTGGTGAAGGTCCTTTGAGCATATGGCAACTTCACTGTAGCTGTTTAGTGATTTGTATATCTGGCTGTGGGATTTGGATAGGCTGTGTCTATATTGTTCTGTTCTGAGTGTCTTTGTAATAATTCCCAAGAACCTTGGCCTAGTGTTCAAAAGATACACGTAGCTATGGAGAGGTGCTAACTATAGTTTATAATCATGGTGGTGCTGGTACTTAATGAAATTAAAGGAAATCTTACTCCTTACTGTAAAGCCACCAGTTGGCCATTTTGAATCGTTTAAATGTACCACAAGTTTGAAGGTACTGTGACTGTTATCAAAGAGCAGAACAGACAAGAAACTGAGTTATGTCTTTTGTTTCTAACTCAAGGGCTTCAGTTTTTAAATGTATTTGTTATTCTTGAAAACAGAGTGTTAACTGGGTGATTTGTATCTGTCTGATGGAAGTTGCCTGACATAGTATTTCAAGAAGTTTTTCACTTATTGTGATAATGTTTCCACCTGTATGTTGGAGAGGTGGACTGTGTTGCTGTTCAATTGCATGTGATGGACTGTGTGGTGAGCCAGCCCTGTTAGCCATATATTTTAGTCAGACAAAGCACCTGCAAAGACAATGGGATTGGATTCCTTGCTTGGAAAAAGGAAAAGGAGAAAAAGCAAAACAAAACAACAACAAAAAAACCCACCTTGTTCAGTAAGCATAAAACTTTTCATTCAAACAAATTACTTTTTATTGGGGACAACTTTTTATTAATTTGTTTGGTATAGGGGCCTGCTTTTTTAAAGGTAACATTAAATATGAAGTTGGTCAAAAATATACATAAGTGCTACAGATCGCCTTGATTAACATCATGCTTTTGATGAAGTAGTCTAGTTCAATACCCCTCTCAACAAGGAAACCAAAGCAACTGTTATTTAAAAGATAAAATATAAGCAATTATTTTTTAAAGATCTTTATAAAATGATTGTCTATTTATTACTTTTTTTCCTCCCCCTTCCTAATCCTGAATTTGAGTCTGTTCCGAAAGCTTTACTGAAACGTCTCTGGTGCCATGGAGCCCATGAGCTGTCCAGCTTTATTAGTAGTGGCTGTATTTTGATTTGCATGTACTTGTTTTATGAACGTGGGATGAGTAAGATAGCAAGTTCCTGCAGACTTCTTTACTTAAGGGCCACATGCTTCACCTTCTCGGATTTTCTTTAAAACAGTAAAGTATAGTTTGACTTGGCTACTGATGTGTAGAGGTTTAATACTCACTGTAAACTTCCCAAGGCACAGATGATAGGAAAAATGATAGTAAAAAAAAATAAAATATGCACAACTCTGTATGTAATGTACTTTCTGCTGCAACACTGTTCAAATGTTGCTCTTTTTTCAGATGTAGTGCTAGGCTCTGGCAGGGATAAGTAATATTGTGGAGCAGCCAGGTATTCAAGGAAATCCACCATATATATATATATATATATTATTTTTTTTTAATTTCTAATGAATTGGGCATTTACATAGCAAGGCAAGACTGCAGACTGGTGATCCTAATTATTTTTAGCTTTTCACTGAAGTGCAGAGGATAAATACTGCTTGCTGTTTTATTCTTGTTAGAGGTATATATATGAGGGGTCTTAGGAGTAAAAAGTTCATTCCCCATGTACAGGCTTGACTTTTACAGACTTTCTGACTTCTGTGAAGCTCTGTAGTTCCTTCTTTCTCTGTTTTAAGACCACAGCTACTTGGGATCATCTGATAGGAGGGAATGGGATGCAGGTCCAGAATGCCGTGCTCTCCTGTCTTGTTTTACTTTTCTTTTGTCGTTGCCTCCTTTTCTCACTACATTTCATTTGTAGAAAATTAAGCTGGACTGTTTTGACAGCTTGAGGCAGCTAGTTAGACTAGCATGTCTGAGGTGGAGTGGAGAAGTCAAGTCAGTGGTCCACCTGGGAGGAAGGAGAAGGAGACAGATAACTCCCTGGCTTACAGGACTGCTGGGGGAGAACCCGTATATTTCTTGCAAAGTGAATAAAAGTGGTACTCTTTATTTTTGTTGTTGTTTGTGCCTTTTTTTTTTTTTTTTTTTTTTTGCTTTGGATGTTTGCACTGCAGTCGCTCCCTGTTTTGATAAAGGAGAAGTAAACAATGTATGTGTTAGAAGCATGTGGGCCATACTAATTGCTTAAGGCTGCTCCGGGATGGTTTGAAATTATACCACAATGTTTGAAGCAGTCTCTTTTTTAAATCACAATAATGTGTAAAAGCAGCCTACGTGAGCTTAAGAGAATATGGAGAGCCCTTTAGTATGGGAAATGTCTTCTGATGGACCTCTATAAAGTGATGCTTATTTAACTGATTTCATCAAGATTAAAAAAAATATGCTTTTGGAAAGTTAGGTTGCAGGAACCAGTGTTTATGTCTACTCTGGAGTCTAATTACTTAGAGAATTTTATTCAAAGTTAGTGTCAATCAAAGCTGTCAGGTTTCTGTACTCAGAACTGAGATAAAATATGGCAAATTTGGGTTAAAAATAAAATACTGAAAAATTATTCTGAGACTCTGGAGGGCTGGACTTAGTCTTTTATTCTGACACAGACCTAATATATGACACGTAAATAAAAAAAATGAGTAATGTGAGGGGGATTAATACAAGGTAAACCTGTGTTTGAACTGGCTGTTGAGCAGTGAACCCCAAAGACTGTGGAGCTGAGGTACAGGAGAGCCTGTGTGCTATTATAGTTAGGTAAATCTCATATTCCTCAGGTGTTTCCTAAGGGCAGCAGCCATGCACATGAAGCACCTGGATGATGCTGGTGAGGTGTGGAAGGTTGGGGGTTCCCATTTTGTGGGAATTCTTTATTTACATATGAACTGATCCATTATAGTTGGCATAGGGGCTGCAGTTAGGAAGCTTTCAAAACGGCATGAATGAACCTGACTGCGGTAGAAGTAATGGCTTGTGTTTTTACAAAGCTTGAAAAAGGAGAGAAGGAACTGAAGAAGAAGCAAAGGTGGTTTGTGCTGCTCTTGTATTTTGTAGGTTGGTGGGGTAATGTATGCTTGAGTTTGGATCTTTCAAAATGCCCAAGGAGCTACAACAGAAGATGCCAATGGTACCCTAAGAGCCAGTCAATGCTACTGTTCCCCTGTACTTGGGGGTCATAAGAAGAGTTTGCCACCAGGTTTTCCACTGCAGAGCATCAGACTTTCACCCCTTGCTCTGCATGCATGCTGTGGGGCATGAGCCTCTGTCTGAGGAGGGCAAGATATAACTCCAGCAGGCCAAAAACGGTCTGTCAAAGTCTGAATTTGGAGTGTTACTTTTTCTAGTGGCTTTCTATCCAGCAGATGGCAGCCGCTGTTAACGTGTCGGTGCAAACAGACTCCGTGCATGGTGAAAACTGCTTTCCATCCTGTTTCAGTTGTGCTTGTAGCCTGGTTTTTCACACGTGCTTGTTGCTCTTTTTTTTTTTTTTATGAGCTTCATGGAAGTGAATTTAATAAACAGTAAATTAGAATAGGAGCGAAGATGATGAGGGGAAAAGTAGGTTTAATTAATCTTGCTCACAAGATACTGTGCAGAGCTTCTTACTCTGGTGCTGCAGGTGAGAAGGCAGCAAAGAGTTGAATACATTAATATTGAGTGCATTCAATATTAAATTTTAAAATAATTTAAAACTGCTTACAATATTATAAATTGTAAATGTGAGTTAGAACAGGTATAGAATGCCAATTCTAAGGAATATGGTAGGTAATGCAGCTGGGGAATGGGAGATGTTGATTTTACCTCTGAAGTCTGCCCTTCCACCCTATTTTTTGTCACAGTTAATATATGGATCATGGGATTTCAGATGGTGTATGACTCTGTATGCCTATGAATCCTCCTAGGAAGTTTTACAGGTGTGCACAGGGGCCATACCTCTGCTTTTTTTTTTTTTTTTTTTTTTTTTCTTCCTTCTTCCCTCAAAATAATTAGTTTGGCTTTTGAATAAACACTGTAAAATGCAGCACATCATATGCATTTAGATTTCGTATTTCTATATATGGAGCAATCCATGTGTTCTGTGAGCTTTGTGTGATGACATAATGGTGCAGAGACTGTACCTCAGAAAGCAGAATAAAATCCTGTCAGGAAACATCATCTCCCAGCAACTCTGGTGATACAAAGGCAGCATGCAGCTGGTTGTCCAGTTTGACCAGCACAGCCTTTCACCTGCTCTGGGAGGACCCTGGGAAGAAGCATCGTGCACTACTGGGTGCTTTGTTGCGGAATTTGCATTGAGAGGATGGAATAATGGATCCAAATTAGTCCTTTAGGGAATTGTAATCCTGGGTAAAGAAAATTGAAACTGACCTCAATTTCTACATTATAATCATCTTACAGAAGCCAAAGAGAGAGGCAGAACGATCTGGTTGCAAAAGCAGCCTCCATTTCTGCTACTGTCATGGCTATAAAGAGTTGTCTATATTAATAAACTGTATTATTTAACATCTCTCACCACTGCTCTTGAAGATTGCTCTTAACACCTGGGGCAAAATGTATATTAATACAAATTACTTTTGATTAAAACCATTATTATTTTAGCACAAAAAGGAAGGGGGTGGTAGAAAGGAATGTTCTCTTTTTAAATATTTAAATACTCATTATACCAAAGTGATACAAATTACTGGCTGACTGACAACTTGCTAATAATAGCTTAAAAATGCAAATAGAGCTATTATCCCAATTGACACTAATTGGAACTCTTTTGGCAGCCTCTGAGGGCAGGGCAGGAAGATTTGATTGTTTCCTCCAGCTTAAATCATGGTGGTGAGGAAGTGTAGGGAAGCTCTGCTGTGGATACGCAGGTTGCCATTGCCTGGCCTTTTAATGGGCTACCATCTGCGGACGTTGCAGTTCATTATGGTGTATTTCATATTTCCATATTTCAGGAATATTCTGAAGTTGGGATTTCTGTGCACAATTTCAGTGAATTTCATGCTACGGACTGGCCCCATGTGGCTCAGGCTCTACTGGAGCCGAGTTGGTGCCATCTGTGGGAATCCAAGCTTCAAACGCCCATTTCCTGTGTAAGCCCTTTGTTGTATTTTCTGAATTATAAAGAGGATTTCTTTTTTCACTGCTTGTAACTGAAAAGTCTGCTGACATAGAGGCATTCAATACTGTTTCCCCACAGCCTTTTCCTGCAGAAACTGGCTGCTCATGGCTTGGAAGGATGAACTCTTTGCTGGGTAAAAATGTGGCTGGATGGCTAGGCCCAAGGGGTCATTGTGAAAGGAGTTAAATACAGTTGCTGGACGGTCACAAATGGTGTTCCCCAAATGGGCCCAGTATTGGGACCAGCTTTGTTTCATATTTTTATTAATGACATTGATGAGGGGATCGAGTGCACTGAGTTTGAAGGTGACACCAAGTTGGGCACGAGTGTTGATCTGCCTGAGGGTAGGAGGGCTCTGCAGAAGGATTTGGATAGGCAGGACCAATGGGCCAAGGCCAGTATCATGGCATTCAACAAGCCGAAACACGGGGTGCTGCACTTGGGGCACAACAACCCCATGCAGTGGTACAGGCCTGGGGAGGAGTAGCTAGGGGTGCTGGCTGACAGACAGCTGAATATGAACCAGCAGCATGCCAGGTGGCCAAGAAGGCCAACAGCATCCTGGCCTGCATCAGAAATGCTGTGGCCAGGAGGACCAGGGAGATGATCGTCCCCCTGTACTTGGCTCTGGTGAGGCCGCACCTCAAGTACGGTGTTCAATATTGGGCCTCTCACTACAAGAAGGACATCGAGGTGCTTGAGTGTGTGTGGTAAAGTGCAACAAAGCTGGTGAAGGGACTGGAAAACCAGACATATGAGGAGCAGCTGAAGGAGCCAGGGCTGTTTAGTCTGGGGAAAAGGAGGCTGAGGGGAGACCTCATTGCTCTCTGAAACTGACAGAAATGAGGTTGCAGCAATGAGGGTGTTGGTCTCTTGACTCAGGCGACAGGTGATAGGATGCAAGGAAAAGGCCTCGCATTGTGCCAAGATTGGATATCAGGAAGAATTTCTTCACAGAAAGGGCAGTTAGACATTGGAACAGGCTGCCCAGGGAAGTGGTGGGGTTGCCATCCCTGGTGGTATTTTAAGAGATGTGTGGATGTGGTGCTTAGGAACATGATTTAGTGGTGGACTTAAGTGTTAGGGGATGTTTGGACTTAATCTTGAAGGTCTTTTCCAACCTAAATTATTCTATGATTCTAAATCAGTATCAGTGTGTATGCAGAATCTGGCATAGAAGATGACAGAGGTGCCTGCTGGAAGAAAGAACTAAGTCCTTCCTATGCATTGCATAGCAAAGAGGTCAGTATGTCAGGTGTTATTGGTGACATTCAAAATATGAGACAGCCTCCTGGATTAAGGCGAGGCATCTGTAGTGACACCCCTGTGATGCTCTGCTGGATGACAGGCTGATATGTCTCTATTAGTTACTCTCACTGTACTTTCTATTTTCTAGCGACTATTGTCTTGCTGTCTGTGGTTCTCCACCCTGGACAATTCTGTCTGCCTCCTCTCCCCTTACACTGAAATCCATAGATTAAGTTGCAATAGCACCAGTGTTAGGAATTGTATTGAGGTCAGGGATATGGTGTGGGGCACCCCCGTGCTTCCCTGTGAGCACCCTCAGACTCTGTATCTAGAGTCACATATTTTCCAGCTGTGTTTGTCATCATTTCATACAGACTCTTCTCTGTTGCTGTCACTGCACTTGAATGTATTGTACAATGAAACCTAGTGTGACAGCCTGCTCTTTGCAGTAGATGAGTTACTTACAGAAAAGATGTGTTAACAATTTGACGGTCACTGGGAAAAGGGATATGTGCATATGAGGGTACTGTGACACCCAGCTCTGTTTTCTGAAATAATGCATTTTATGTCACGTTTTGAGGCACAGTGAAATGCCACTCTCAGCACAGTTCTTGAAGCATCTGGTTTCCTAAGAGGATAGGAAAATTGGACTTGATTTTTCACTCCAACATAGACTTTCCTCGTGAACTGGAGAAAACCT